GGGGGGGTCTTCTGATTTTAGCCTTTCTCCATTATTTTTTGGGGCTCATATAACAAACACATGGCTTACTTTAGTTGCTGAGGACACTGGATGGAGAGAGGAAGCTGCTGTGTGAAGTTTGCTAATGTTTTATCTGTCACCTTATATCTTGTTGAAAGTCTGAGACCTGTCTCCCTTTACCCTACTTGTAAGTGTAGTGGAGAAAGACATATTACATTTAGTACATTTAATAAACTAGATCAAAAGGCAACAGATACATTAAACCAAAAGCTCTTATGCAGGAGTCCCCAGCTCCTGGTCTGCAGCTGGTTGGGAACCGGACTGCACAGGGGTGAGCAAGTGTTCAAAGCCCCATTTGTGCTTATGTGCTTAGGTTGTGCACACAAAACCATCCCTTTCCCTGCCATCATTGCCTGCTGCTGCCGCTGCCACTGCCACTCTACAGAGCTGGAAGGGTTGGGGACTACTGCTGTCCTGCAGAATCTTTTTGGTGTAGTGGTTAAAGCATCAGACTAGATGCAGGAGACCATGAGTTCTAGTCCTGTCTTAGGCACAAAACTAGCTAGAGAATCTTGGGCCAGTCCTTCTTTCTCAGCCCTAGGGAGTAGGAAATGGTAAACTACTTCCAAAAACCTTGCCCAAAAAAAAAAAAACCCTTCAGAGACATGTCCAGGCAATCATCCAGAGTCAAAAACTGACTCAAAGGAACAAAAATAATCACTAATGTTCTTATTATCCTCCTTGTTTGTATATTTGGGATCTGGACCATGATAATCTGGGATGAAACAAAACTGGGTTTAGGATTAAAAAAAAATTACGTACAAGACCCTTGAGGTTTCCCGCTTGCTGTGTTTCCCTCTCTTTTTCACTAGTTTTGTGTGTTGTGGTTTCCTCACCTCTAGGATCTGTCAGATGAAGCATTTGGTCCAATAAAAAAACAAAGAAGGTCTTTAAGGCCAAATTGTGTATTTCCGCCGTAAAGGTAAAGATTCCCCTCGCACATATGTGCTAGTCGTTCTCAACTCTAGGGGGCGGTGCTCATCTCCATTTCAAAGCCGAAGAGCCAGCGCTGTCCGAAGATGTCTCCATGGTCATATGGCTGGCATGATTAAATGCCGAAGGCGCACAGAACGCTGTTACCTTCCCACCAAAGTGGTCCCTATTTTTCTACTTGCATTTTTTACCTGCTTTCGAACTGCTAGGTTGGCAGAAGCTGGGACAAGTAACGGGAGCTCATCCCATTACACAGCACTAGGGATTCGAACCACTGAACTGCCGACCTTTCAATCGACAAGCTCAGTGTCTTAGCCACTGAGCCACCGCGTCCCTCATTTCCACCATAGAACACAACAAAATAAGCACTTTATTGAAAGCAAATTGGCTACACTCAGAAAAACACATTCCTTCCTAACCAGGGGTGGGTTCTACTTACCTTTACTACTGGTTCGCAATGGGGCCGCGTGCAGGCTCTCGCTTCACTCTCGCGTGCATGCACTCTTCTGCGCAAGCACAAAAGCTTCTTCACATGCTCAGAAGCATTTTTATTTATTTATTGTTTCAATTTGTATACCGCCCTTCTCCAACAGGACTCAGGGCGGTGAACAGCCAGAATAAAAACAGAATATACAAAATTTAAAAACAGTTTAAAATAATTAAATATTTTTGGCCGCAGTTTAAAACAAACCCAATTTAAAATCAATTAAATTTAACCCAAAACTGTGGGATCAAGCCAGCCCGGCTAGTTGAAATAAATAAGTTTTCAGGGCCCGACGAAAAATCCGGAGGTCTGATATTGTACGTATCTCTGGGGGGAGGTTGTTCCAGAGGGCAGGCGCCGCCACAGAGAAGGCTCTCCCCCTGGGGGTCGCCAGCCGACACTGTCTGGCAGACGGCACCCTGAGGAGGCCCACTCTGTGTGAGCGTACTGGCCGGTGGGAGGCTATTGGTGGCAGAAGGCGGTCTCGTAAATACCCCGGCCCTAAGCCATGGAGCGCTTTAACAGTGGTCACCAACACCTTGAAGCGCACCCGGAAGACCACCGGGAGCCAGTGCAGCTCGCGCAGGAGAGGTGTCACATGGGAGCAACCCGTCGCTCCCATAATCCCCCGTGCGGCCGCATTCTGGACCATTTGGAGCCTCCGGGTGCACCCCAGGGAGAGCCCCATGTAGAGAGCGTTGCAGTAGTCCAGGCGGGAGGTGACGAGTGCCTGAGTGACCGTGCGTAGGGAGTCCTGATCTAGAAAGGGTGATGTCTTTTATGATGTCAGGGTCGGTGGGCGGAGCCTCCCGCCGGTTTTACTACCCGTTCTATAGAACCAGTGCGAACCGGGGGCAACCCACCACTGTTCCTAACCCATCATCCCTAATGTGTGTCTCTCCCCGCCCCCCGAATAAGCTGAAAACTCTAATTAAAGGCCACATAGTAGTCAATAAAGCACAGGTAATATACTTTTTCTGTTTTCTTAATCTCACCATACAATAGCTTGAACCCCACACCATTTTCTGAAACCCTTGTATTATTTGGCACTTTTCAGTCTAGTGATGGCTGTACTGTACTTTGTAAGATCTAGAGCAGAACTTTGCTTGGGTAAGAAATTACCATATTCTTCGGAGTATAAGACGTACCGGAGTATAAGACGCACCTACCTTTTTTGGTTGTTTTTTTTTAAAGTTTTTTTTAATTTTTTAGACAAACACACATACAAACATACAATGTATTTTCTTTGAACAGAGTATTTGGCTGGTTCACAAATTTAAACAGTTTAGTCATTTCAATTAAATTTACAATTTCTATATTTCCTTTTTGCCATATTTATTCCTCATCTTTTTAAAAAAACCAATATTACCCTTCATTCTCATCTCTAATCTTAATCAAATTCAATTTTTCCCTTCTATTCTATATTATACCCCTTCCCATTGTCATCTATTTTTATATCCATCCTCACATTGGTTAATTATTTAATATTACAATTGTTTAATACAAATTCAACATTTTTATATAAATCAATTAGTTATAACTATCTTTTTTGTATATTAATCAATATGAACATGAATATTCCAATTATTTCCATGCAATCCAATTTCTTACAAATCAATTAATTATATTTACCAATAATAATAAACCAAATAATTTTCCCCATATATTCCTCCAGACCACAACTTAACCATTTCTGCTTTCAACACAATATACAATTAATAGTATCTCAATTATTACAATTCCCTAGTTAAATAGAGCTTTTTTTCTTTTGTGTTTTAAAATCTTGAACTCTCCTCTTTTTCCCTAAATTTCCCATTGTTTGCACCTACCATTTTTGGTGAGGAAAAATAAAAATAAATCTCTCTCTGCCTCATTTTGTCACATTGCAGCAGAGCCTGCTTTACTTTCAGTTTCGTTTTTTCAGCATAACTAGGGGAAAAAATTCTGCTCCAGCACTCTTTGCAGCAAGCAGGAAAGCCCTGCGCAAAACAGCTGAGAGCAAATCAGCTGAGAGTCGGGAGGCCGATCTAATCAACTTGTGCTAATTAACCTATGCTGAAGCTGAAAGGGGCTGTTTTTTCTTGCTGTTTGCTTGCAAGAAGGTAACTGCTGCGAGGCACAGGCCAAAGGGTGGGGGCCAGTGGGTGGGCAGGGCTACATTCGGTGTATAAGACGCACCTAAATTTTCACCCCCTTTTGGGAGGTAAAAAGGTACGTCTTATATTCTGAAAAATACGGTAGTGCAATGGCTCAGTAATTTGCATAATTTTCTTGCTTGTCTCTTTTATATTCAATATAAGCATTAGGGGTTTTCCAGTCCCCAGGCCACACAGACTTGTTCCTTGTTTGTTGACAGACAGCTGTTAACATCTTAACTGGCTCATCTCCTGCAGTTTTAAACATAGGTATGCAGATATAATTATGCAAAGTCAGCATACAGCATCCATTTTCAACATCCGGAGGAAGCGGTTCCCAGAGTAAAAAAAAACATTCCTAGCAGCTATAAAGTAAAATATACTATGTGAAAAGCATTGGTATAAATGCATTCCGTAGAGCTGGATGTTATTTTAGAACATTTATTTGAAATAGTTAAAGTTTAGGTTAGAAAGCAAAGCCTTAGATTAGACACACTTTTATTGGTCCAGCTATAAATAATCACCTCCATACATTCCATTTGGAAAGTAAAATGAATCAGAGACAAATGCATGCAAAATGTTGCAATTAGACTGTTGTAGAACTCAAAACACCAACAAAATGGCATTTAGTGGTTTGGAAAGCAGGGAAGAAGAGTATATGTGAAGCACATTGGACTAGCATATTCATTTTTTGCCAGGTTGGTTTTCACAAACAGTGGATAGACAATATGTAAATTAGTCCGATCTCTGATAGACTTATCTGTCCTCAAATAGAAATATGACTTGTTACATAATATTTTCCAAAAGTCAACTTTGAGACTCTCAAGTTCTAAATATTTCTGGAAGGGAGGATCAGTAATTACCAAGCTACCACAGCCATATGACAAAAGACTTTTGACTTGTGGCTCCCTTTTTTCGTCTGGGCTGTCTTCACAATCCTTTTTGGTCTGGTCAACACATATATCAGCCATTTCTCTAAAATTCATATAACTCACGTTGCCAGGAAAGTATTCTCCATATATCTCTCTACAGCTTCCAGAAAAATACACATCCCTTATTTTTTCCCCTCTTGTTTGTACTTTTGTAGAAAAGCAATAGAAGGTATTTAGGAAGCAGCAAAAGGAAAGGGATAGCTGACTTATGTGCATTCTTGTGTCAAAATGTTTCAGAAGAAAATCAAAAGAATCTCTTTGAAAAAATGAAAAATCTTTAAGCATCCTATTGGCAACTAATGTGCAGAACTGTATACTGTAATTCAAACAGTCAGTGACTGGACTACATTGTAGGTCTGAATTTTTATTTCCTGGCTCTTGGAATAAATCCTCTTTCATTCAGATTGACAAAGCTATTTCATTGTCTTACTGATTTTAATTTTTCTTTCTCCTCAGTGAACCAATTGGAAAGAAGAGATCTGGTAAGGCCATTACTTGTACTTTTCTGCTTAATACTTATCTCTTTTCAAACTCTTTTGATCTGTTTCAAAATTATTTGAATTTGCCCACATCTATTGGCCATTACAAAGCTTGACTGATCTACGGGCTTTTTGAACCATCTCTAAGAAAAACTAGATGAATTTTTTCCCAAATTGCAACTTGAATTTACCTTTTACCATTTTATTATCCCTATTTGTTCCATTTTCAGCATGGAAGCTAATGCAAGGCAGAAATGCCAAAAATAAAAGGTGTCAAGGGATGGGGGTGGAGGAAGGTTTCATCTTTTATCTGCTTTTTTATATCTGTGATGGTCTGTTTGAGATTGTGGCTTTTGTTCTAGATTTTCAAGTGCAGCTTAAGTTTTTCAGAGAAAAGCTGCAACTTTATCTCCTACCAAATAGCAGATAGCACAGTATTAAAGAAGATGGGAATAGAATCTTCTCGGTGTATTTATAACTATGATTGTCCCTGAATCAGAATTTATATAATCCAATGATACCTAACCAAACAAAGACTCTTGACCAGGGGAAATATTAAGAGTTACTGGCAATAGCAAAGGACATGCCTGTTCCAATTGACAGACGTTTTCTTGTGTTTTGGTGAGGCACATATAAGATCAATTGAGCAATATATATTCCATATGTGTGAGGGGATCTACTTTTGCTTGCATCACATTGTACTGGGTTTCTTTGTGATATCACCACTGAGATGAGTAAACAGTGGGAAGAAGGTGTATGTTCCATGGAAAGAAGTTTTAAAAGTAGTTCTAGAAAAACGTAGTTAAAGTAGTTCTAGTTGTTTAGCAAAAGTTTAAATTCTGCATTTCGTTTCATGATAAAAACAAACCAAGGTCTTTTTCCCACCAGGCTATTCTGCTTAGGTTAATTGCTTCAGATAAATACAATCTACAGCAATATTCCCCCAACAAGTTCACTCTGAGGTTTTCCTCTAATAAACAAAACAATCACTTACATTTTTCAAACACACCAATTTTTATGTTTTGGTTGAGGAACTCGGTGATGCCTGGTGGCTCAAGCAAATATTTGATGAAATACACATGTGATTATTCTCTTACCATTGTATCTTCCTTTGGGTTTTCTTTCCACAACAAACGATATTGTCTGAGTTGTGAATCCAGCAGAAAGAAGGCAGAATAGGTTAATTGAGACAGATTGCAGACGTACCATTTACCTTTGTTTCGTGAATCTTTCCCATTAAATATATTCCATTTAAATATATCAATCACACAGGGAGATGTTAGGTAGATCCATTGCAAGCAAGGCCAGGGACTGCTTTCCAAATGTTGATCTTTTCCTACAACTAATTGTGTCATGGGGCAGGAGTCAGAAAAGACATACACTCTCCAAGAGAAATCAGTCCTACACACACGCTGAGCCCCACAGCTAGCACAATCTTCACTTTCCTGAACATCAGGTGGCAACTGTTTGTTGGCTTTGGCTGATTTTTTTTTTTTTTAAAAGCTCATCCTAAAGTCCTAGAAAACTGCCAGATCAACATAATTCAGAGGAGGAAGAAAATGTTTAGTTTTGCATATGTCTGTTAAGCAGGGTTGGATCTGTAACTAGGTGGATAGAAAATTCCCAGAACATTTCAGACTTGTTGTTTAGATTGGAAAATTTAAAAAATAATTCTGAAAAAAAAGCTACCCTGTTTCCCCCAAAATAAGACATCCACTGATAATAAGATCAATTGGGCTTTTGAGCGCATGGCAATAAGTCCAAGCGCTTATTTCAGGGTTCAAAAAAATATAAGACAGGGTCTTATTTTTGGGGAAACACGGTAATGGCCAACTGCTTTTCTGTTCTTTCCATAAGAACCACCTGAATATGTTCACATAGTCAGCAGGAATTCAATTGAATCGAAGGGACTTCACTTTTCACATTTTCTAAATCTGATTCACCAAACTGTTATATGAGAAGAAATAGAATCAATTATCTATCCATTATAGGGACCTCCAAGAGTAAAAATAATTGAATAATTTTTTTCTCATAACCCCAGATCTTTTTTCTTTCTTTCTTCTGCAAGATTTCCCCAAGTTTATTTATTTATTTATTATTTATTTATTAATCACATTTCTATACCGCCCTACCCCTGAAGGACTCAGGGCAGTGAACAGCCAAGATAAAATACAGATAATACAAATATTAAAAATCCCTTAAAATTATTAAATATTTTGGCCAAAACACAGATTAAAACACCCAATTTATAAAATCACGAATTAAAAATTTAAAAGAAGAGAATTAGGCCAGGCCAGCCTGCTGAAATAAAAAAGTTTTGAGAGCACGACGAAGTTCATATCTCTTGCTCCTAGATGGATGATGTTTGTTTTGGCATTACAACGATTCATAACTCTGATAATCAGTTCACTGTTGGTAGACATATCTTCCTTAACTTGAAAATCCAAATTGACATACAGTTAACCTCTCTAATACTCTCCCTTCTCTGAATTTATATTCTTGCACCTTCCTCATGGCCATTCTTCATCATTTTTGTTCTTTCATCAGGATTTATCCAGAGAACGGCTTCTGACCTTCTGAGAGGTAGTAACAGCAAAACATACTACTTGAGACTTAACTTTCTTTCCTTACTGCTGAGCAACACTTGCTGCTTCTCTTGGGTATTCTGATCAGTCATGGCTTTGTAGGACCACTACTTCCTTCTGGGTTGAGCGTGGGACCAAAATATAATCATTAAAAAATCCACACTATACGACAGTTAATAAAACCCCATCTGCTTGATTTTTGGATAACTAGGTAGCAACTGTTCTGCTTTGCTGGTGGCGGCCTCAGTACTCTGGTGATAATCTGGGAAGAAATTTCATAATGGGTTGAATGAAAATAACTTGGGATATCTGGTGAAAAATAGTATGGTTAAATTGGATTTGGATAAATCACCACTGGTTTTCTTTTCTATGTATTCATTTTTATACCCACAGATGATGAAAATGTCTAATGCCTAATCACAGGATTGAATTACATGTGTTTAACCTGAAAAGCCTATCTCTGATTATTCATAATTTTACAGTCTTATTATTATTAAAATGTGCCGTTGTCTTTTGAGGTCTCTTGATGGCTTACAATAAATAAATTAACATCAGAATTAAACCTAAATTATTCTAAACAAGGGGAAAAAAACAGTGTTTAAAAACCTGTTCTCATGGCTCTGGAAAAGGCAACCAAGGGGTGATGTTCTTAACTTGAAGTGCATTTCCAGGAACTGTGGCTACTGCAAAAGCTTGGCTTTGATTCAGCATAAACCATGTCCCAGCAGCTGCAGGCAAAACTGCTCAGAGCATCTCAGTAATTGGGAATCCTGTAAAAGGAGATTCTTGCTAGCAACTTGGACCCAAATTGTCTTGGACTTTCATTCAGAAACACATTGGTAGCTATTGCAGGATTTTTAGCACAAGTGAATTCTCCCAGAGACCAGCCTGATTGCTGAGTTCTTCACCCACTGGAAGCTCCAAAGCAGGAACTATGTCAGCCCCATCCATGTAAGATTCATTACAGAAGTCAAGCCTGAAGGTATTCTGATACGTGCACTACAGTTCTAAGACCATATTTATCTTCCAGGAAAGAGCATAGAGCTGAAGCTAATAAAAGGCCATTTCCACCATGTGAAAAACTAGGGAAAATTCAAATGAGAAGTGCCCCTAATTTGCAATTGTGATCCTTCGAGGGGGCAGGGGTGTGTGTGTGAACTATTTGTAACAGGGAAATTTAGCACCTCCCTGGCATTATGACACACTTCATAATGAGCAGCTCCTTATTATCTGGATTCAGCTTCACTTTATTTATTCTTCCACCGATTAATAACTGCAGGCAGGCACTCGACGGAGCTGTGCCATTAGCTGCAGCTATTGCAGAGAAATAGATTTGGATGTCATGGACATACTGATAGCAGGCATCTTCCAGTGACTTCATCTACGTGAATGAAAGACAAGAATGAGAGATAGCAAGAGTCACTGAGGGGTATATATAATAGCTTCTGTTTCAAGGAGTGATGTGAAACCTGTGTGAGTGATAGAAACAGAACAAAGCAGCACCTTTTGTTTCTTTGATCTCTTGGGTGATCCAAAAGATTAGGTTATGATAGAATAGAATAGAATAGAATAGAATAGAATAGAATAGAATAGAATAGAATAGAATAGAATAGAATAGAATAGAATTCTTTATTGGCCAAGTGTGATTGGACACACAAGGAATTTGTCTTGGTGCATACTCTCTCGGTGTACATAAAAGGAAAGATACGTTCATCAAGAATCATAAGGTACAACACTTAATGATGGTCATAGGGAAACAGTCAATATAAATCGTAAGGATACCAGCAACAAGGTTACAGTCATACAGTCATAAGTCGGAGGAGATGGGTGATAGGAACGATGAGAAGATTAATAATAATGCAGACTTAATAACAAGTCTGACAGTGTTGAGGGAATTATTTGTTTAGCAGAGTGATGGCATTTGGAGAAAAACTGTTTTTGCGTCTAGTTGTTCTGATGTGCAGTGCTCTCTATAGCTTTGTTTTGAGGTTAGGAGTTGAAACAGTTTATGTCCAGGATGCGAGGGGTCTGTAAATATTTTCACAGCCCTCTTTTTGACTCATGCAGTATACAGATCCTCAATGGTCAATGACATCAAAGATATTGAGAAGTCAAGAATAATCAATAGAGTCACATTCCTTCTTATAATCCCTAAACGAAGATTGGCCATTGGGCTGACTGCTCAATCTCAATTTGCAACCACTTGTGAATTGATTTGAAATGGATCAAGTTATGGTAATATTCTTTCAGGATTGCCAGAAGATGAGAAATGAGCACTCTGAATTATTTTAATATTTTTAAACTATAGTTTATTATTTGAATTATTTTAATATTTTAAAACTATAGTTCAAACTGGACTATATTTGCCCATTTTTGAAGAGGCTTTTATATCCAGGCTTTTTTATCAGTTGTTTAATAATTGGTTCTTTGAAGGTTCTTTGTATCTGCCCTCAGTGTAGAAGGGATTGCCACTCTCGAATTGGCCTTTTTAGTCACACTAGATGCTGTTTTAGGACCTCTTTCCAGAGCACGATACCATAGTCTCTTGAAACTGAAGGATGCCAAATCTTTGAAGGCATTTTACTTTCCCTCAGAGCAAGATTTACAACATTACAAAAAGCATTTCTATTAACTTGTTAGTTGGAAATGCAAATTAGATTGGACAAGGATTATCTATTTTCAGGAGACATCAAAAATTAATTTAAATCAATTATTACCACATGTTTAAAATGTATAGCCTAATAGGCTATAACCAATTAGGTATATAGCTGCTGCAAATACTAAAAACTTAATGAAGTGAAAATCCTCTTCGAAGTATTTTAATGGAATCAAAAATTGCTCCCAAATAGTATAAAAATTGTTGTCTTTGAAAGGAATCTTAGGTCTCAGTTCCTGAGCTTTATATCTGTCAGTTTCCTTTTGACTAATGATTTAGTTTTGTCCATCAATAATTAAAAAGTATTTAAAATCTTATTTCTAGAAATAGGTCATTTAAAATCTTGCCTTTAGAAATGTCTCATTGAAGTCTTTTCTAACACTTAATGGTGGTGTTAGTTCTTTTTCTCAATAATGTTCATAAATAAGATGTATATAAACATATAAATTTACATCTGAGAGCTACCTAGAGTCACCATGAGAAGTTGGGCAGCCATTTAAACTTTCTTAACACATAAAAATAAATAAAATAAAAAGAATATATTCTTGTACAGATCTGTGGTCCAAAACTCATGCCAAACAATGATGGCAAATGTTTGGGTATGTAGAAGAATGGCCATTTCTTTAAATAATATGCCTCAATGCAGTGAAGTCAATGAATTGCATAATCAAGAGAATTTCTCCATAAGGTTCTATGGCAATCTATCTAGATAGTTCTATGGAAAACTATCACAGTTTTCCTAAACGTTCATTTGGTTTCCAAAGCATGTTTTATTTGACAGTGTTGGGGAAATCACAGCTTGACTCAAAAGCCCCAAAAGACCTCAACCGTTGTGCTATGTCTAAATTATATCATTTAATTTCATGCATGTTATTAAACAATATAATAATAATGTGATTAAAGAATGTAATTAAGCAATTGCCTTCCATTGAGGACCTGTATACTGCACAGTCAAAAAGAGAGCTGTGAAAATATTTACAGACCCCTCACATCCTGGACATAAACTGTTTCAACTCCTACCCTCAAAACGATGCTATAGAGCACTGCACACCAGAACAACTAGACACAAGAACAGTTTTTTCGCGAACGCCATCACTCTGCTAAACAAATAATTCTCTCAACGCTGTCAAACTAGTTACTAAGTCTGCACTACTATTAATCTTCTCATTGTTCCTATCATCCATCTCCTCCCACTTATGACTGTATGACTGTATCTTTGTTGTTTGTATCCTTACAATTTATGTTGACTGTTCCCTAATATGATTTGATTGGTTATTTGTACCGTATGACTATCATTAAGTGTTGTACCTTATGATTCTTGATGGACGTATCTTCATCAAGAGCGTGCACCAAGAGCGTATGCACCAAGACAAATTCCAATCACGCTCGACCAATAAAATTCTATTCTATTCTATTCTAAATTGAAAACTAGTTGTTGATCTTTTTCTCTGGTAGTATCTCTTCTGTATACTTATTACTCCTTGAAATAAGTTATCAGTGACTGTGTCACATTCATTTTCTAATGTTGTGGTGCTTTATTTTAACTTGTCATGCAATGTTGAACCTTTGTTCTTGCAGCAGTGGTGGGCTTTTTTTGTCAGATTTATATATCTTCTTCATGTCTAATACTTCTACATTAGTCTTGGGCTTTGGAGCTCAGTTTAAATGCATTTTGGACAAAATAGCTTTTATCTAACCCCAGATATTTGTAGAATAATGCTGCTTTCCATATAGCTCTTTGATTAAATTTAGTAAACACTGCAGCCAATCTTGACTCATTTTGCTGCTTTTGAGGAGCCAAAAATAGTACGTCAATTTAAGAATCTCACACTTATCCCAGAAAATGGGCATTTTTTCCTGCAAATGTATTTACTGTTTAGTGTTTGGGAATGATTATCCTGGGAAGAAGAAAAAGCTGCTGAAAATAAACTTGAGCTTTTTCCATTCCGTGCTTTTACTGCATTGTGATGATGGCTGTAATAGGCAGTTTGGAGATGCCAGAGCTGCATGTTAAAGCTGCAAATAGCCCCAGGATACTGTGAGTAATTATATAGGGAGTTGGGGACAGGAAAAAGACTTTCTTCTCTTTTCCTGCAGTTGTTTGCCTTCTGCTGACCTCATTCTTTAGTCAAACCAGAGGGGCAGTTAGCAACAGGCAAGAGATGGACCCTCCAGTCATCATTGTTCTGGACGTTACATTTGTCTTTTTGTGGCAGTTTCCTCCATTTATCTTTCAGAGACAGGACACTATAATTAGAAGCAACTATACATCTGCCCTGCTCACCTTGAATATCAGACCCATGATAGTAGAACCTCATAGTTTCCATCTTGGTGATATCCAGCTGTGTTAGACAATTTCCAACCAACAGGACTCCCAGTCATATCTGGAATACACCTGAGAATATACTGAGAAACCAATATAAAAAATGAATTTTTATTTTCAAAGCCTACATTTACGTCCCCATGAAGATGTATTTAACCATAGATCTTCCCAGGATTGATCATGCAGTCATGTACAAGATAGAGTGGTGCAGCCATAAGTTGGCACTGATAGTCTGCCTGTACTGTACAATTAGGCTATTCTTTCTACAAAATATTCTTGTCTTTTCTTGCTGCTGGTTTCATCGTGATGTCTCCAATAAATTTTCTTCATAGCATTGATGTGCTTTGCCATATATTCGATTCAAAGCCAATTTATTGCACCAGTTGGAGAATCTGGCTTGTTTTTGTTGTCTCCATTCCTTTTTCTTATTTGCACAAAACTGTTTCTTTCCTTTGAATAGTGTTTTAGATCAGAGTCTTTTGTCCCTGACCATCATGGACACTGAAATTTGCAAAGACCTTAAACTTACATAATTTTCTATAGCAAAGGAATGGCAATAGCTTTTAGGTTTATATATTGCTCTGTAGCACTTTACATCACTCTCTAGGTAGTTTACAATGTAGAAGCATTGTTTTGCATATTATCTCCAACAATCTAGGTCATTATTTTACTGACCTTGGAAGGATGGAAGGCTGAGTCAACCTTGACCCTGTCCATCCAGATCAAACTCCAGGCTGTGGGCAGAGCTTGCCTGCAAGTGCAATACTGCACTTTAACCACGGCTCATTCCTTTTCACTTATATAACATAATCCTCTAGAAATCGTATGTGGTGATGCTCTCACTGAGGGAGAAGCAGCATTCATACTTCTTCTTTACTGGAAGAAGTTACCTACAGAAGTCCCTCTCAGGCCCAAGCTGTTTCCCCAGGAATAATGTAATCCACCATAATTACACACAGATTTTATCGATGTAAGTTAAAACCTGTCTTCATCATTGTTATATCGGTACAGAAATGCTGCAGATGATATAGTCACTAGAGTGGCCAAACAGAATATGCAAACAGTGCCAAAATTTTAAGAGACATACATAGAATTTATTTCTAACCAACAAACTGGGGTTGGCCCGTCCCACTTGCTTCAGCTGAAAAGGCCTACTTTTGATCCCATCTGCCAAAGAAGTTTAGTTGGCAGGGTCCAGGAGAAGAGCCTTCTGCTGTAGTCTCCACCCTTTAGAACATTCCCCCACTGGAGTTGAGGTTGACCTCCACATTCCTGGCCTTCCAGAAAAGCTTTAAAATCTGGCTCTATTGGCTGGCCTGGGCCCCTGTGGGGCAATCTATGCCGGGACTGGCAGATGGGGTAGAGAGAAGAATCCCTACCCTTAGGATGTCTGTTCTCTTGGTTGTTAGTTTCTCATTTAATCTTTTCACTTTAACCATTTCATGTTTTCTTTTCTTTTTTTACCTTTTTATCATTTTGTAAGCCACCCAAAGTCACTGCAACAGTGAGATAGGCAGCATATAAATTTAATAAATAAATAAACCTGTTCCTCAAGAATGTTCTGATTAAAGGGCATTTCCTTCCCCTTAAAGCAAGGGCTACTTACTGCTAAAATCAGGCATATTTAATATTAAATAGGTAGCAAATATACTTCTAAAAGAAACCAAATATTTGGAGTATGCCTTTGTAGTCAGGATATGCATTACCTTCAAAAGTATTGTCACACATACCCTGTTTTCCCGAAAATAAGACCCAACCGGAAAATAAGTCCTAGCATGATTTTTCAGGATGCTTGTAATATAAGCCTTACCCCCAAAATAAGCCCCAGTTAAGATTGTCAGCCAGATGGGTGCATTTAGTACCGTGCTTCTCCAAAAATAAGACCTAACCAGAAAATAAGCTCTAATGCGTCTTTTGGAGCAAAATTTAATATAAGACCCGGTCTTATTTTTGGGGAAACATGGTAATACCCTCATCTGGGAAGAAAATTTAGCTGAAAATGGGACTTAACATTGTGCATAGGATTGGGCTGCCAAGGAATCCATGATCACACAGACCTCTGCTTTATTTCACATGAATTTTTTGCTGGAGAAAAACTGAGTATAAAGGCCCTATTTGACAAGAGAAATACTTGTACAATATCCTCTTACTAATGTAGCTCAGCTCGCTTTTCTCATCTAAAGTTGAAAAAGGAAAAGCTTTTTTTCTGATAACTCTGCTGCCTCTTAGTGGTTCTGAATTTCCAAATCCTAGATTTTTGCTTATGCACTATTGAAAGCTTTCTTCTTTACATGAATATGCTGAATAATGTTTATGGGTTTTTGGTTACATTATCCTTTGGGTCTCCCCACAGATGACAGTTAGGGTGATAATTTGGTATGTGAAGGAAGAGCTTTTCTTAGTTTTCTTTACTTAGGTATATCTAATCTAACAAAGAGAAGAATTAGGGTGACATGGCAGAGGTCTTCCAATATTTCAGGGGCTGTCACAGAGAAGAGGATCAACCTATTTTTCAAAGCACCTGAGGGCAGGATAAGAAGTAACATATGGAAGATTATCAGAGAGATCCAACCTAGAATTAAAGAGAAAGTTCCTGACAATGAGAACACTTAATCAGTGGAACGTCTTGTCTCCAGAAGTTGTGGATGCTCCATCACTGGAGGTTTTTAAGAAGATATTGGATAGCCATTTGTTTGGAATGGTAAAGGTTCTCCTGCTCAAATGGGGGATTAGACCAGAAGGACCTCCAAGGTCTCTTCCAGCTCTGTTGTTCTAAGCTATGCTCTTAATTGGAAAAACTAGCTTCATTTTGAAAGGGTTGTGGTGCTTGTGGCTTTAAACCACATCCTCCGGAAGTACAGTTCTGCTGCTGTTGCTGGACCAGATGGAGTGACCACAGGAAATGAAATCAAATAGTTGCATTTAGCATACACAAATCCAATGTAAGGCCAGAGTTACCCTCCCTTCCCATTAATACAGATTTTTCTGCTGAAAATGAGGTATCCAAATAAGTTTAACTACATTGGAAATATCCTGTTATTACATACATTTGAAAAGCCCTTCTATTTTTAAACTCACTTCGATAAATTCTTCTTTTTAGCTAATACACTTAATGACTTTGGAAGTTTTAATTGATTTCTTCCCAGCCTAATTTGTACTCCAACTAATTCAGCAAACCTTTGAGTCAATGGAAGGGTTTCAGAAATCGGATTTCTGCTTTTAAGTAAATATATATACATATATCTTCCTTTTTTCCTGCTTATCTATCCATTTACAGTATGATATGAGTCAGAGTTAATGTCTCAATCTGGTTCTCTAGTTTTTGTTCTTGTTCTGGTTTTACTCATTGTCTTTGTTGATTAATAATGTACTGACTGATGAACACACTTCCGACCATTCAATTACCAAAACTTGAGGGTATTCTTGAAGGTCAGGGAGAAAAAGATTTGTGCTGTACTAAATACCTGCAATAAGTGGGAAGTATCATCAAACCTTCGCACACAACTTCTCCATACTGTAATTATAACTGAAGTTAAGTGACATTCAGAAATCTTGTGCCTTCCACCAAAAGAGATGTCTACTATAATCCAATTGAACTGATGTATATATAAGTTAATGCCATTGCTTTTGTTCATTTCACCATCCTGGCCAAGCCAGGAATTAATTCTGCAACTGAAAACCTGGGCATTCAGTTAGAAAGGTTTACTCACAAATTTCAACGGTTGTCTTGCCTCATCTATTTTATATAATCCATGCTGGATTCTAAAATACAAGTTTTCTGAGCCAAAAAATAAATAAATAAGGAAAATAACTAATTTTACAATATATTACATCAATGATCAAGTATGCTGTCTTGTTTCCTACAATGTAGCTGGAGATTTGTCATCTGCTGATCCCATGGTGCTGGAACAATATGTGGTGGTGGCTGATTACCAGAAGCAAGAGAGCTCTGAAATTAGTTTGTGTGCTGGCCAAGTTGTGGACATAATTGAGAAGAATGAATCTGGTAAGGGTTACTCATTTGGGATATAGAGGAGTCCAGAAAAAACAATTTGTAAAAAAGATCTCTTGTTTCTTATAACTTCCTAATATACTTTGCATAAAGGTGTTCTAATGGGGATACATTTAGGCAAAGGAATGGCATCCATAATAGATTTCATGTTTGAAAGCAACTTAGTAAGATTTTATCCTAGCTCCATTTCACAAATCCCTTGTCCAAATTTCTACATTTGGGGACACGCTCTCTAGAACCCAGCTTTCTATTTTGAAATTTCCATATTAATTAAATAAAAAGATTTCATTCACAGAGTGCCTCCCAGCTTTTGTTTGTGTGTGTTAAATGCTTCTTCTAGAATTATCATAATTCAGCAACTTCATACATCTGTGTCTGGATTTGGATGTGCTTTGTTTTTCAGAAAAAATAAACAGTGACACTTGTTTTGCCTGTTTAATTCAAATAAAGAATGGCCTCTGAAAGTTATTTTGGATTTGTGTTTTAACATAGGGAAACTTTGAATACATTATTTTGCTGGCAAAAAGAATCCTATAACAAAACATATTACTCTCTATTTTAATAGCTTTTATGTAAATTACTAATCTTGTATTGCTTTAATACTATCCAGAACTGAAATGACTTCCTAGTTTTTCACTCAGTCATTTAAATATCCACTCTGAATAGAGTTTGAATTATGAATTCACATAGGAAGAACACAATAAATGGATTGCTGTATGGATTAAATTGCAGTTATTATTCAAGCATAAAGAAATAAAGGAAAATCTACAGAAATAAAACGATCTATTTCCAACATTTCATAATGCTCTCTCAGCATACTTTCTCAATTCAGTGAAAGGCCATGGAAAAATAGGTAGCCACCTACTTATGATAGCAATATCACTTAGACTTATATACCACTTCACAGTGCTTTACAGCCCTCTAAGCGGTTTACAGAGTCAGCATATTCCCCCCAACAATCTGGGTCCTCATTTTACCACCCACCAGGATGGAAGGCTGTGTCAACCTTGAACTGGTCAGGATTGAATTCCTGGCATTAGATAGAATTAGCACGCAATACTGCAGTCTCACCACTGTGCCACCACAACTCTTATAATCACAATAAAGGCAAGAATTTCAGTTGCTAAGCAATCATTTGTTAAGTGAATCTCAGCAGTTGTTAAGTCAATTGTGCTATCATTAAGCAAATCCAGCTTCCCTTATAGACTTTGCTTATAGGAAATTGACTGAGGAAGTTGCAAGTGACGATCACATAACCCTGGGATGCTGCAACTGTCATGGATACATGTTGGTTGCCAAGTGCTTGAGTTCTGATCATGTGACTGTGGGGATGCTGCAACGACTGTAGGTGTGAGGATAGGTCTTAAGTCACTTTTTTCAGTAACATCGTAACTTTGAACGGTTGATAAACAAATGGTTGTAAGTCGAGGACCACCAATAGAATTTGACTAGATTCTCCACAATTGTTTTGTTTGTTTTCATGGAAATTTTCACTGCTTCAACATCCAATGCGGCAATATTTCCTGGGGCAGCAATCTTGCACTTTGAATTCTGAAGAGACCGATTGAAACCTCCTTTAGTAGATTGAAATCGAGTGGTACAAAAAAGTGACACTTTCCATCATTTCTACAAGTGCATAACAATAGTTCTAATAGACAGCAATTAAAAGTGGGGAAAAGTGAAATGAAGAACCCAGCATGTCAGCATACCTTTGAGTGCCGACCTTTATTTTCACTTACATTGACAGGATTTTGTTTGTAAGGAGAAAAGTCTCATGCAGAAGGTAGTACAATATTGATTGCCTAATTCCAAGGGACCTCAGCATGCCTCTCATTTTCTTAATTGGAAGTCAGACCACAGAAACTGATGTGATCCATGATTAGTACAGGATTGGGATGGAACATTCCATGATGAACTGTGTTGCATAATCTTCTCTAGAATGGATTGTGACTCTCTACTTAATTCTTTTTTTTTCCCTTACGTTTAGGCTGGTGGTTTGTAAGTACATTGGACGAACAAGGATGGGTTCCTGCAACATGCCTAGAAGTCCAGGATGGTGCCCAGGATGAATTTTCAATGCAAACTGAAGAAGGTGGGAGTAGATCAAGATACTTTCAGATTGGCCCCAAATTTGTTTTCGTATTATAGGCTTTGGTGGGGCTTTGAGCCCATATAAAATATTTAGGATAATTTTCACAGAGGAAATACACTAACTACTTAAGTGCCAAGGGAGTACTTCCAAGGGAGTCCCTATATGGGGTTTTTTTGCCCATAGCAAGTTCTCATGAAGATTAAAATCATTTAGTTTGATATTTTTAGCAGAGGAGACTGGTTTGTTAGGGCTCCTTCTTCATAAGCTTTCGGACTCAAGTGCTTTTCCATTCAAGAGTCATGCCAGATTTTGGCATAGAAAGCCCAGATAGACCTTGACTTACAACCACAACTGAGCCCAAAATTTCTGTTGCTAAGTGAGACATTTGGTAAGTGAGTTTTGCCCAAATTTACAACTTGCTAAGTAAATCACTGCACTTGTTAAATTAGTAATATGGTTCTTAAGCAAATCTGGCTTCCCGGTTGACTTTGCTTGTCAGAAGGTCGCAAAAAGTGATCACATGACTCTGGGACACTGCAACCCAGAGTCATGGTAGTACAGTGGTCTAAAGCACCCTGTTATTAACACAGCTGCCTGCAATTACTGCAGGTTCGAATCTTACCAGGCTCAAGGTTGACTCAGCCTTCCATCCTTTCTAAGGTAGGTTAAATGAGGACCCAGTTTGTGGGGGCAATAAGCTGACTTTGTATAAATATACAAAAGTATGAAGGCTATTGCTTAACGCATTGTAAGCCGCCCTGAGTCTCCGGAGAAGGGTGGCATATAAATCAAATTAAAAAAAAAAAACCCGTCAAAAATGTGAGTCAGTTGCCAAGCATCTGATCACGTGACTTGGGACTGCTGTAATGGTTGCAAGTGAAAAATGGTCATAAATCACTTTTTCAGTGATGTTGTAATTTTGAACAGTCACTAAACAAACTGTTGTAAGTGAAGGACATCCTCTATTAATGCTCACATGAATTCCAAAAAACAAATAATAAAAAACAAATGAATAGTTCATGCTTAATCCAGGGCATAGAATCTGAACAGTAGTTATACCCAGGTGACTCTGAGAACACAGAAAAACCTCCAACTGGCCGCAATGACTCTCTGAATGAATGCAAATGACCAGCTGTCTGCAAGAAGTATAATTTTTTCCCTTCCTTCCCCACTATTGAGTCAGATCTGAAGAAGCTTCCTGGATGAGAAGCAAAATGTCTTCAAAGAAAAACTAGAAAGTCCAGTTGCCTCTTGACCTGGATGACTGAGAATCTCCTTAGACACTTTGAATAGAAAGTTTTTAAAAAGTGCTTTTGAAGGCAATTTCTAAAGTAACCCATATTTTCATGAAGAATGCATGTGAACATGAATTATGAATTGAGTGACAACTCTTTTTAATGGACTGATATGGAGGAGGGCATCTTTTGTTGAGGAAATTCTGCACTGAACAGGAGTTTATTCTATTAAGGAATAAGGGAGTAAAGTCCTAATAATAGGACTTATTAAAGTAATGCAAATGTTAGAAATTGCAGTGGAAGTTTGATTTGCTGACTACAACGTCAGTTGCATTGAGGATGGGTAAAACTGAAGTTTTACTTTAAATTTTTTTTTAAATTAAAAAAACCCGAGATGCGTTTTAGCGTGGCCTTTTAAATCAAATTGCTCAAGTCTCTGCCATATACCTGGGAGGAAACAAATGTGTGTATATACTCTAAACCAGGGGTCTCCAACCTTGGCAACTTTCAAGACTTGTGGACTTCAACTCCCAGAGTTCCTCAGCCAGAAAAATCTTAAAGTTGCCAAGCTTGGAGACTCCTGCTCTAAACCATCTTGTGTGTTGAACAATCTTAAGTGAGATGTATTAGGTAAATCATGGTTAAATCATTGCTTAGTGTGGTATGTGGATCATGTCATTGTTAACCTTATTATAGCATTAAATCTTCTTTTTAAAAAGGTAAACTTTCCCCTCCTTTTATCCTGTTTTGTGCCTTTCCTGCTTCCCCAACATGCTCATCTCAGTCTCATGGAGATACTGGTCTCTTCCCAGACATGTGGGTCGCCGTCGAACTCTTGGGGACTTGTACACCAGTGGATGGGGTCAAGGTGGATGTTGTGGAGATCTCTTTGTGCCTTCTTCTTCTGTGCTTTGGACTGTCTTTCTCTGTGTTTGCATGTGCTGTCCACTGTGGCCCGTTGTTGCATGCAATTTGTTTCTTATTGATATCCAGAGTGTCTATTTCCTTAATACATTGCTTATTGTAACTGTTAAATCTGCTTACACTTGAGTATGTGTGTCCTCCTTTCCATTCCCTTGAAACTACTTTGAGACCCTGATTATGACAATTTCTACTCTCGGGTAAATTGTATTTTATTTGATCCTAACCAAAGTTTAAATGCATTTTTATCTTCTTCTTTAAAAAAAAAAAATCTGCATGTTAAATGCAAACTCCATCAGCCACTTAATTACTGAGACTGCAACAGACATCATAGGGCCTGTGGGAGAAGGCAAATTCTCACATATTGCAATGCTGTTGCAGCCTTCAAAATGATCAGCATCATTTCTTCCACTCTGCATTATTTGAAAGGTTTAATTGTGAGTTCTTTGGAAGAAGAAATCATTTCCCGTGAAAGCAACCTTAACATGGGCCAGCAATTACTGCAGCTATGACAAACCTACTTCCATGATACCTTAGGGGAACAGATGACACAACTGCATAGTATTTCAGCCTACAAGAGATATGTCTCTTATTCCATTGTTCACATGAATAGTTCATTTGAATGAACTGTCATTGGTTCTGATAAGATTGCTAAAATGACATCTGTACTGAAGCATCTAGTAGTTTGTAGCTGACACTTGGAATAAATGAAAAAATAGATCATGTAGAATTGGTTTGGTCATCTGTCAAACAAAAAACATATCACATTATTTTCTGGATTACCAGGTTCCATAAATAACCATTTTTGTGTTCCTGCTTCAATTAGAAAAAAGAACATAGAAGTTATTTGAGAGGCATTAGTGGGGCTGCATTAGACTTTTATTATAAATTATGAAAATCTGTCTTTCAAAGGTGATGTTGAGCCTTTGGTGAGCCTTTGTGTCAAAAGGACAGAATCAACCATATTCAGTAGATTCAACTCTATTGTGGAATATCAACAATCAGTTGATTCTACTCTATTGTGAGGGCCAGTTTACTGTGCTAAATTATCTAAAATGTATGGATTTTCAGATTTGTTCTGTTTTTGTTTTTAAAGGATGTCTTCCCAATTATTATTCCTGTCTCTCTCTCTCTCTTTCTCTCTTTTACTGCTATATTTCTCTTTGAATAGAGAAGTATATGGTGATCTACCCATACGCTGCTCGGGATCAAGATGAAATAAACCTGGACAAAGGAGCTACTGTGGAAGTGATCCAGAAAAATCTGGAAGGATGGTGGAAAATCAGGTATACGTCCAGTCATGATTCAAAAGGCATTAATGGGAAATAGATACTTTAAGATCACAAGACCCAAGTTATTCCATTGTTTTTGCAGTTTTCTTCGGTGAAGGGATAGGAGAATAACTTTCAAAGTACAGGTAGTCCTCGACTTACAATAGTTCATTTAGTGACTGTTCAAAGTTACAATAGCACTGAAAAAATTGACTTATGATCATTTTTCACACTTACGACAGTTGTTGCAGCAATCCCCATGGTCATGTGATCAGAATTTGGAAGCTTGGCAACAGATTCATATTTAAGATGGCTGCAGTGTTCCAGTATCATGTGATCACCTTTTGCAACCTTCTGACAAGCAAAGTCAATGAGGAATCCAGATTTTACTTAACAACTGTCGTGGTTCACTTAACTGTGGCAAGAGAAATTGTAAAATGGGACAAAATTCACTTTGAAATGTTTCACTTAGCAACAGAAATTTTGGGCTCAGTTGTGGTTCATAACTTGAGGACTACTTCTATAGAGATAGGAACTCTATGACATTTATTCTGCTTCGGAAAAATACAAAATAATTTTGATTTTAGAAGAAAAGTAGTAGGTACACAATCTATATCCTGCTCATCTTAATGTCAGCGTTCCAGGAAAATCCCAACTCCAAGTAAAGACGTGGAAGCAAGCATTTCCCAAAGTTCTCTTTACTAGAATAGGCAAACTGGCACATCTGGGAAAACCCGAATCTGAAAAGCCCAGGTTTTCCTTCAGTAAGTCAAAGCTCCCAAAACCATCCCCTTTCTCCCTAGTCGATCACCTGCCCCAATGAACATCCATTCCATCTCGACCCAGCTCCCTGACCACTCCTTCTCCAGATGTTGGATCGCCCTGACCTTGACCGACAGGAATAATGCTATTATGTCTACTAACCCCCTCTCCTAAATCTCCCCTCCTACTTTCCTACACATGAGGAGGTGGCAGCATTGAAGCTTCCGGCCTAATATGGCTTCCAAGGCTGACACTTAATATAGATTCTAGAACCATATCCCCTGAACTCAAAAAGACTATATATTTTGCTTTTTAAAAAATAAGAAGAAAAATCACCAGGAAAGATCCTCTCACACATGTTAAGGTTGTATTTTGTGATTACATTTAATTACATCCTCCCCCTCCAAAAAAAAAAGTATTTGTGATGGAAATCTTCAACATAGGCTTCCAGCATGTGTTACTGGATAAACCTTCGTCTAAGCCTTGTTATTACAAAAGCTTTGTGATGGTTCATAATTAGCACCAATTAATCAGTTTTGATATCTGTTCTAATCACGTTAGTTACTCTGCTTGATGCTGGGCAATCTTGCAAAGGAATGCAAAAGAGAACAGATTCCCATGTGCTGGGAAAGTTTGCTATGCTCATCTGTTCACTTCTGAAGATTATCCCAACATTGCACATTACGAATTCTTTTGTGCTTTTGTCTTCACAACAGTCTTGGACTCCTTTATGTGAAACAATGGGTAAAAATTAAGCAGGTTTACAAATAGAGATGTTTACTTATTGTTAAGAACTTGCAAGTTACCCAGTATTTTGGGAAAGCATGTGCCAGATATCTCTAATCAATAAAGCTAATCTAATTAGACAAGAGATCAGATGATTTCTATTTCTTTAGATATCAGGATCAGGAGGGCTGGGCCCCAGCATCTTACCTGAAAAGAGGGAGCGGAGACCTACTTACATCAAAACTGGGATCTGCAGCTTCAGCCCATTCACACGCGTTGGATATGGATGGACTTTCTCGACAGCAGAACTCCCCAGGTCGAGACAAGGATGGACTGAGTAATCAAAGAGATGGGAGATATGATGGCCGCCCATTGCCCAATGTGGACCTTCAACGAAGTAAGTTGGGAACAATGAAGAAAGTGTTTAATGCTTTTTGAAGTAAATTGGTCAATCAGATAAAAGCAAGAAATTGTCATGACTCTTGGGTTATCCATTTTTCTTTGAACTGAATGTTGCATTTTGCTTTTGTCTGGCATGCAGGGGTTCTTGCAGTCCAATGATAATTAAATCAGAACAAATAGTATTTTAGAACTAATTTTAAATTTACACCATTAATCTAATTACATCTAATTAATCTAATTACACCCAAAGCATTCAATAAATTTTCCATCCTGGCATGGTTTTCTTGATAGGATAAAGTTAAAGTTAGTGTACATTTTAAGAATCTTTATATTGGAAGTGACATATTGAGAATACGGAACAGATATTTTATTGATAACTCAAAGCAGCAAGCATACCTAATCCTTCCTCCTCCTCCTGTTTTCCCACACAACAATAATCCTGTGAGATGGGTTGTGCTGAGAGAAAATGAGCGGCCCAAAGTTGCTATTTACTGTTCTTTGTTATTTTATTTTTCCTTACAGCTTTTATTTTGCTAAAAAATTATTTAATAAAAATTATTAAAATGAACGAATGAATTTTCCATCCTCTTAAGGTAAAAAATTCATTTAATGATACCATTTGGGATTATTTTTTGAATTTCATGCAGTCCTGTTGTACGGGTAGCCCTCAGGTTACAACAACAATTTGAACTGGGAACCCCCTTGTTAAACAATGGGGTCATAAAAGGCAATGTCATGTGACTGCATTGCTTGCCAATTGCAATTTCAGCGGTCCTGATTGCCATTGTTAAACAAGGACCACACGGGTCATTAAGCAAGGATCTCACGTGAACATGACTTTTGACTTCTTGCCAGCTTCCCCAGGACAACCTATAGTGTATGAAGGTATTTTATGGTTCTGGACTCCAGTTGTCTCTCTTTAATGCTAAATCCTCACCCTTCCCAAATTTTTGTTCCTCTATTGGAGAATTGGTTGGGACATAGGTAACAAATCTGTTCTTTACCCGGGATGGCTGAATGTTAGCTCTACGAGCAAAGATGGGTTGCTGCCGGTAACAACCGGTTCAACCAGCACCAAAAATGTGAGCACACACCTTCCACGCATGCGCACAGCTTCAAAAACACGGCGATATAGGACGGAATAGTGCCAAGGCAGGTGATCCAAATTGGTCCAAACCGGCAGCAGTCCACCTCTGTCTACGAGGTAGACCAGGCTAAGAAACTAATGCCATGGCATACACCTTAGGATTTTTATTGCAGCTGTATTTTGCAAGTCTAACTGTGTTGCCCCCCATGCCCTCTGCTTCCTTCATGTGAACAAGGGAGGGGCTCATTCTTTTCTTGGCCGAAGCTCAAGCCCTGCTTATCTGACCATTGCCTTGGTAGTAGCTTTTCCTCCTCTCCTTCAAGGCCATTCCCTCAAACAGTTGTAATGGATGTCTGGATATTGCATGTTCCCATCAAGGGACACAAGCATTCCACTGTTCCTAAGTTATCTATGAAGGAAAACCTCATCTGCTTTCTTTCTTTCTCCCTTCCTTATCCCCTTTCCCACCCTGCCTCTGTGGAACTCAGTGGAGTGCTTAGGGCAACTGATCCAAGGTCTACTAAAACCTTGATTAGATGAGTCATCATTGAGATAGAAATGAATCAAGAAGCCTGCCAGGGTGCTGCTCATGGGGAAAAGCAAATAGAAAAGCTATAGAGATGTACTTTCTCAGACTAGAATAAAGGGAGTCTTTGACTTACAACAACTGAAAAAAGTGACTTATAAATTATTTTTCATACTTACACACTTACTTGCTGCATCCTCATGGATGTGATCAAAATTCAGACACTTGGCAACAGGGTCACACTTACGACAGGTGAAATGTCCTGGGGTCATGTGATACTTTTTGTGGCCTTCTGATAAGCAAAGTCCATGGGATAGCCAGATTCACTTAACAACCATCATTACTAACTTAATAACTGCAGTGATTCACTTAACTGTGGCAAGGAAGGTCGTAAAATGGAACAAAACCCACTTAACAAATGTCTCGCTTAGCAACAGAACTTTTGGGGACAATTGCAGCTGTAAATTGAGGATTATCTGTAATGAGGTGTTGTTCACAAATGTTTTCTGAAACTCGTGCTGATAACTTTGAAGCACATTTAAATACTTGTTTTGACAGAGTCACCAAAGATGAGGCAAAGACCCCCTCCTCGTCGAGATCTCACAATAGTAAGTGTTGCTTCCCGATGCATTTAAACAGCCTGATAATAACTAATCAGATGGAAGGAAAGACACTGGGAAGATAAAAGAGATACAAGTCTTGCTGCCTCTTTTATGTCTGCATAAATCCCCATGTCCAAAGCATTTTTATAGTATGTCAGTTAAGGAGGAAATTGGCATGTCTAACTTGCTTTTCCCTTTAAAAATATGGGGAGCAAATAAAGTTCAATGTGGTATGAACTTTGTTCCCAGGGCATTTAATTGGGCGGGATGCAATCACTGTTTTTACTTGTGTGACTTGAATAGTTGTCATAGCAAGAAATCTGTTTCTGGAATTTGTATCTGCAATCAAACTGTTAGCATGGGGATTTTTCCAACATTGAATAACTTTACCGTATACAATTAAAGCAAGTTTTAGCTATAAAACCCCAGACCCCACTTTTATTTCTATTTAGATTTGCTTCTAAGCACTACCAAAAAGCTGATTTTCTATAAACACACAACATTGATTTCATAGTTAGAATTGACTGAAAGAACAATTCATCTCTTGTTCTGCAGAGGTTCTGCTGAAAAATGTGTTATGGGTTTGTCATCTCCTTGGGCTGGCTTTCTATGTGACTCTGCAGATCCTGCAGATGGAGGCTGGAACGCCTAATGTGTAAAGAATTGCTTTTTGTGGATGGAAGATGACTGATGCATATTTTTAATATTCTTGTAATAGCCACGTTGTGTCAATCTGCCAAAGCCTCCAGTGCCCCCACAGGTGGAAGAAGAGTATTACACGATTGCTGATTTCCAGACCACCATCCCTGATGGGATCAGCTTCCAGGCAGGACTGAAAGTAGAGGTGAGACTAAGTCTTGTCAGGCCCATCTCCATAATCCTTGGCTTCTTCCACAGAGCTCACTTTAAAACTCACTCTAAAACAGGGCTGTCAAACTCTCGGCCCACGGGCCAGATGCATAACGCACAGTTTAGCGAAGGGGGGAAAAGTCCCAATACGTCACGTGATACCGCCATGATGACGTGAGTTTGACACTCCTGCTCTAAAAGAAAATCCTTTTACAATGGTATAGTATTGTCGGCTAACCCAGTTCTAATAAGCTGTGTGTTGCGATTTTAATCATAGTTTTCTAATGAAGTTTTTCTTCGTTATAATTGTTCCTATCTCAACTACTTGAGTCAGAAATATATTCCAGGAATCAAGATGTTGCTTCTCTCCACTTAAATTTGATAAGAATAGAAGATGTTTGAACAAATCAAACTGGAAAAGTTTGATCCAACAGAATGTACTACTAAGATTCTACTTAGAACCATGCCCTTGTGTGACTTCATAAATACAAGAAAGAGGGTTATCCTCCTTGACTTCAACCAGTAGCTCTGGGAATGATGCATTACAAGAAAGGCAAATTTTCTCTGCTCCCATTAAACGTATTTTTAACTTGAGGAAGTTATTTTTATCTGCCATCCGTGCACTACTAAATTATAGGGCAATGTCGTCCTATCAGTATATTCCTGGTTTTAAAATTCAGAAATGTATTTCCTATTCTCTGGTATCCAGGCTATGCACATTTATAGATGGCTCAATACTGACATCTAGTGACTATTTATTTTCTTGTCATATCAGAGTTTCTTGTACCATTGATATAAGTCATCTGGGATCCCTTGTTTGGAAATGCCCTGCCCATGCTTAGATAGGTAATCATTCAGGAAAACCGCTCATTTCATGATCAATAACATAAATCATCTGGAAATCCTTGATTCTCTCTTGGGCTTGCATCATAAGAACTTTGGTCATACCCTATATTGTACAAAAGCTGAATATGCTCCTCTGAACCTTCAGATGTCCAGGTGGATTCAGTGGCAATCATTCTATCAAGCAGAATTTAAAAGTGAAGAAAAGAAAGTTGCAAATTTTATCAGCTACTTAGTAATAATTTTAGATGACAAATACTAACAATCATGTCCTTGTTAAATATTATTTAAATATTATTTATGCTGTAAAGAACAAAATGGCACCAAATTGAGAATCTAATCTTTTATTATCTTAGGTCAGTGTTGTACAGTTAGACTCAATTAAATAGAAAACAATCTCTGTTTATGATGTGAATTTTTGGTGGTGGTTTGCAAAATCGCTAAGTCTCTTCGCAACCACATGGACCATAGTTCGCCAGGCCCCTTGTCCTCCACAGTCTCCCTGAGCCTGCCCAAACACTTGCCCAGTGCTTCAATGACACCATATAATCATCTCATCCCCTGCTATCCCTTTCTCCTTTTGCTTTCAATCTTTCCCAACATCAGGGTCTTTTCCAGTGAGTCCTCTCTTCTTGTTTGATGGCCAAAGTATTTGAGCTTCAGCATCACTATCTGTCCTTCCAAAGGACAGTCAATGTCGATTTCCTGTAGGATCGACTGATTTGATCATACTGTATATTCATTTTCAGTCTACAGTGACTCATCACTGTAAACTATCTTGATAGTTTTTCTGTGATGAATCTGTAGGCTAAAAATAGATGGCTACTTGTCTGTTAAGTGAAATATGAGGGGGGAAAAAAACCCCAGTTAAAATCTTAATGCTAAACTTAATCTCACAAATTTTAAGTAATGCAGTTGTTAAAAAATTCTAAAGAATGGTGGCTTTATTTCCTTCTCCAGGTAATTGAGAAGAACCTAAGTGGTTGGTGGTATATTCAAATTGAGGAGAAGGAAGGCTGGGCACCGGCTACTTTTATTGACAAATACAAGAAAACTAGCAATGCGTGTAGACCTAATTTCTTGGCACCATTACCAAATGAGATGGCACAGCTACGGCTTGGTGACAGCACAGCAGAGAACAGCTCTAATGGAGACCTTGCTGGGCCATCTCGACCTCTGCCTGAAGCACCACCTAATGGTATTGAATATGGAATCAAATGGAAAGGAAAGGAGATGTCCCAGGATGCTTTGCCAGAGAACAGTGATGCTTCTTTGTGTGTTGGGTATGAAGAAATAGGTGATCGGGATATGGAAGAGAAACCGAGTCTTCCTCCAAGGAAGGAATCCATAATTAAATCAGAAGAGGAATTAATGGAAAGACAAAGGTTGGAGCAGCGGCCTCCTCCAAAACCTCCTGGCATGATTTTGCCTGCAATTCCCCCAAAGCAGATTGTGCCTCCAAGGGACAAGAAGCCAGAGCTCAGAACAGAGAAGGGCAAATTGTTCCAGTTGAAAAACGAAATGGGTCTTGAGTGTGGACATAAGGTTTCTCCAAAAGAAATAAAGAAGCCCAACCTCCGGCCCACAGTCAAGCCAATGAAACCAAAGATGGAGCCCCCAGAGGATAAGCCTGAAGCAGCTAACCTCCCAAACCTTTTTCTGAAATCAAAACCTCAGATCAAACCGAAACCAGCACCTGCTCCTAGGACAGATCCTCCTCAGTTAGAGAACAAATTAGATCTTTGCAACCTGAGGAGCAAACTCAAGCCTGCAAAGGCTCAAGAGAAGCTGTCAGAGCAGGATCCTGTGGTTAATGAGAGTGCCTTCAGTAACAGCGGACTTCCAGTAGAATCTTCTGTCAAATCTCAGGAAAAGCCCAACATGGAGGTTAGACCTCCCTCTAGACCTGAAAGCCAAATCTTTAAGGAAGCTCCTTTCCCCAAAGTTCCTGTGGGTTCATCAAAGCCAGGTGAAAATGAACCTAAGAGCAACTTTCCAGTACCTAGGGAACCCCCTCAACGTCCAGTAGTACCTCCCAGAAGGCCTCCACCTCCTAAGAAATCAAGTGTGCCACCACCCTCAGTTTCATTTGCCCCCCCTGCAGAACATAAAGTCCCTCAGAAGGAAGTGCCTGAAGTTCGAGCTGCCCCAGTGTCTAGTAGGCCAATATTGGTTCCACCAAAAGCCAAAGCCTTCCTGCCGTGTCCTGGCCAAGAGGAAACCAAAACAAAAAGCAGCTCAGGCCAAAAGTCATTGCCCAAGCCTGTGGAGAAGGAAAGATTATCCATTCCAATTACCAATCTGGATGTCTCCAAAGAAGCCCTCTATGTGGCTGTGGCAGATTTTGAAGGAGATGAAGAAACTAGCAGTTTTAAAGAAGGGACTGTTTTTGAAGTCCGTGAGAAGAATAGCAGTGGCTGGTGGTTTTGCAAAGTCCTCACAGCAGGGCCATGTTGGGAAGGCTGGATTCCTTCCAATTATCTCCGAAAAAAGCCATAGTCCTGTTGTTGCTTTTGCATTACAGCAGCTCAACAAACCCCATTTTAGTACTGCAATATTTAATTAGCTTATTTATAGTTCTTCATAAGGCCAACTCTATTAGAAACAACAAAAAGCAAAGTATCTGGGATACCAAACATTCCAATTTGGGCATGTCTCCAAAATGAATTGCAAGAGGAAACTTGCCATTATGTAGTATTATACCTAGGCTACTCTTCCTTCTGTAGGTAATTCATTTCTTGAACAATTTTCACAGAAAAAAGGAAAGCGAGAAGAAGAGCCACTTTTCTTTTTCAGCATCATGTGCCATTTAACGTCACTAAATATAATCATGGGCTAAGAAGCTTCATGGCAAGGAGAATATATAAGTAATACGATTCCATAATAGGTACTTAGGTGCAAAGAGCTATCCCAGTTGTTGTTGTTCATTATTTTAGGCTTCTGTCTCTGTATTTTCCTCTGATATGAACAATGCATCTGCCGTAGCTCCCCTTTATATGACAGCTAGTGTTTTTATGTAAGCACCATGTTTAAAGATTTGTTAATGAAGTTCAATGTATTCTCTGCAATGCAGATCTATGTCTCACTTGGATTTTTCAGTATCTTAATCTCGTTTCAGTAAATGTCGAGGGCATGGCGTACAGGTTATCCATGTCCATACAGTTGGTGCTGCATCTTTGAGTCTTGCTCTACCAAACTTTTATCTACATCTGCAAATAAGTCTTCTGATCCTTCTAGATTTTGGGCCATCTTTTCTAAATCTAGAAGATAACAGAATGGGGATGCTCTAGGCTCAGGCTCAGCCTTTCTAGGAAAGTCTTTAATGTTAAAAGTTGGACTAAAGGAAATTTACGAAGAATTTACCTCAGCCTGTTTATCTCTTCCTCATATATTTTACTGTGAGAGCTTTTTCAAAAAGCTTGGTTTCCTACTTTTGTGTTTCTTTAGAATGTAAACTAAATTGGCAATGTCTTTTGAAACATGCAGCCAGGCTAAAAGAATGGCACACTCTTAAGAGCTATGTGAATTGTTTGAATTATCTTAGGCAAAGGCCTGTTTAACTGGTCAACTAGTGACAGGTTATGGCAATTTTAGTGATGTGAACTGTATCTAGAAATGCATGACGTCAAGAACCATTTAATAAGACGTATTTCAATTTTGGAGCTACAGCCAAGAGGCAGAAAATTCATAAATATGAAGATTAACTGTGTGGAACTCATTCTTCTAAAAATATGCAGGGGCCACCTTTTTTCCTGCTCATTTCTGTATACTTAAATGGGCAAGCATGATTAACCCATAACCACAGACCTGCAGTCATAGTGACTGCAACAGTTTTCCAAAATGTTCAGAACACCCCTATTTTTAGAAATGGACCATTCCGGTTGTGAATAGCTTTTGTTTTCCCACCAATAAGAGTGTATGCAGCTTCACACTTGCATCAATTATTTGGTGTTTTCTGTAACGGCATTTGAATTTGAGTTTCGGTCATTTTGACAGCAGATCTTTGTTAACATTTTTTTATATATATAATGTCGGAGCCAAGTTTTACATCAAAAAGAATACGATTTGGTGATCCAAATTGTGAAAAAACACTTCTAAAATGGTATGGAGAAGCAGCGAGTGATCTGAGTGAAGTGGAATTGGATTGTGACGAAAATTATGTAATGGACAATGAGGAACCCGCCGCTGATTCTGACATCAGTGATGATGAAGCTCCCGATGAAATTGATGACCAGGTACAATCTACGTCGTGCAATAATTTATACGGCAAGAACAAATTCAAATGATCTTCTGCACCTTTTGGAAGCAATAGATCCAGAACCACTAGTCACAATATTGTTGTGCAATTACCTGGACTACGGCCAGCAGCTAGAATTCTCGGAAATTCACATGCTCCCCTAGAGATTTAGAAATTATTATTTTCTAAAGAAATTATTAGTGCCATCATTCAGTGGACCAATGTAAAAATTAGAGAAGAAAGATTGAAGTTCAAGGATGGAGAAACAAACAGTGAACTGCGTGATGTGCATTTGATAGAGATCAATACATTTTTTGGTTTACTGCTCTATACATCAATTTTTAGATCCAACCATGAAAACATCGAATTTCTTTTTGTTTACTGAGGTCATTATGACCTCATGTCTGTAATAGTGTAGCCAAAATAGTACATCTGTGGTTAAGGGTTAAAATAAATATATGCTTCCCTTTCTTTTTTCTTTTTTCTTTTTTATTTCATACAGTAGAAATACATAAAATGAGAACATGCCAAAAAGTGATAGCGTCTCATTTATAGCCATGACATTTTTTAAACAATTGATGATGCAGACTTTAACTACATCATTTTCAGTAATTCTCACATAGAATAGAATAGAATAATTTTTTTATTGGCCAAGTGTGATTGGACACAAGATATTTGTCTTGGTGCATATGCTGTCAGTGTACATAAAAGAAAAGATACGTTCATCAAGAATCATAAAGTACAACACTTAATTGAACACATGTTCAATTACAGCGTGGTTTGAGAATGTAGGTAGAATCTGGTACGCAGAAATTAACCATACAATTTGTGTTGAAAAGATTTTACAGGAAAGGAAAAAAAACTAGTTTTAAAAAGGCAATACAGCATTTGTGTTACAGGAATTTGCCTAGTAAGCTCCCATGAGCCAAATCTCACTAATTTCCTGAAATTAAATCAGCTTAAGTCCAACTCTAAAATTTGCCTGTAAAAATCAGTTCTTGGAGTTAAGTGGCTGCATTTTTCTCAAAGGCAGGTCAGTCTGACTATTGCTTAGGCAGATTCAGGATATTAATAATAGGAGTATGATTCATTTGTCCATTGATTAGACATGAGATCAAGAGAAGTCATTCTGAGAGAGATCCTGCTACATAAAAGTAGAAATCTTACTTTTTATTTGTCTTGATTGACTTTGCTCTATTTTTACCATCAGTCTCTTACTACTGTTAAGCAGTGGTTGAACCATTTGCTATTCTGCAACTTTTGTTCAATATCTAACTATACCTTAGTTCCCTTCTTGGCACTATTCAGTATGTGTGGTCTAGGGACATTACAATATTCATTTCAGAATCTTTGCCTGTATAAGTAAATAATTGGTAAAAAAAAATACATGTTTCTTGTACAATATTATTTCCCCATCTCTAATCCTAGCCCTTTTCTTTTGCCCTATTCCTAAAAACGAAGACATTCCTAGAGTAGAAAGGACTAAAAACCGTTTCTAGTATTTCTTGTTGCTTCCATATTTCTTTCTTGAAAAAACTTTTCTCAGAAAACGGACTGAAGGATCAGGTTGGTCTGGGTTAATAAAGCACTCTGATTGAAAGGAAGCCATTACATTACACATCTGTGCCTCACTTTTTATATTACATGGGATAGAAGCAATTACGAAGACCTGACTTGCTGGGATATGAGAAGTATTGTTGAGCTAATATTTCCCTCAATGCTTTTGTTGCCTTATACCAAAAGGTATATCATTCTGAAAAGGATAACCAGATGCCATAACATGAAACCTGCTCTGTTTACTTTCCAAGTTCACTGACCACATATCTGTTGGACTAAAGGATGTTCTTGTATTCCAGTTTCCTAGCCTTCTAACTGGGATCTTCTTCAATGGCCTTAGGCTCATCCACGTCTTTAAAAGTCTGTTTTAATGTTTAATGTTATATATCAATCTGTATCAATCTGTACGTTAATTGGGTGGGATTTATGGGGAGGGGATTTTTGACAACGGTAGACATAGCCTATGTAAAATTCATGTATACTTCCAGCATTAAAGGCTAGGTGATTGTGTTTTGTGTGTGTGTGTTTTTTAAGATAAAAAAATAAAAAATAGGCTTGACTGGTTTCAAGCAGAACTGATACAATGCCTTTTTTATTATTCTTCCATGTATATTTCTTGGCAAGTATGTGTGTATGTATGCATCTATGTGTTCGTTGCAATAACAAGGCATAACTAGATAGTTGGGATGTGATACTATTTGTCATGAACATGATTTGCGGAGATTCTAGAGGGATTATATTTTTAGGGATGAAGTGATGCTCTTCAAATCATTTGTTCAAAAAAAAAATGACAATATGAAATGGCTGCTGTGAAGAAGCCACAATAGTCGAACCTCCATCAAGACAATTGTAGTTGGGCCCTTCTTAAAATGAACACAGAACATTACTAACTAAAAGAACAGTGTGCACTTCAGATTAAGTGGGATGGGAAAGATGGGTTTTATGCATTTGCAAATGATTCTGCAGGTGGTAGTGAATTTGGTTAAACTTTCAATAGGAAGAGCTGACAAACAATTTTGAAGATATAGTAGGTGGTTTGGAGAAAGATGAGGCATCTGTTCTTTTTTAAAGTTCACCACTACAGAGTGAACCGCAAGCGAAAAGACAACTGTCTATTATAAAACATGCAAACAATTACAGTTTATGCCCCTGGAAGGATGGGTGGGGAAAATTAATCTCACAAGGCAAAGTGGTGTCTTAAGAGTTATAATGCTATAATTGAATAACGCTAGTGCATTCCCTAGATTTCACCAGAAAATTGTAGTAACAACTCCTAAATTTTGAAGAGTTGTTGAGAAAAGATAAGAAAGAAAAACAAGAGAATTCTGATAAAGCACAAGGACAAGGGGCTTTAGGGTGCATGTGCAAAGGCTGTGGCAGTGAAAAATAAACTCAAAAGATTTGGCAAGAACTAGACCTCATTGTTTTGGGTGCAAAGGAGAGTCAGGCTCTTGCCAAACAACTCTTTAAACTCTAGGACACTGTTTCTCAACTTCAGCAACTTTAAACTGTGTAGAATTCAATTCCCAGGATTCCATAAGCAGCATAAATTTCTGAGTTTGATAAATGCTGCACACTAAAAGGTTCTGAGTAGAGTTCTCACAAGCATTTAACCCATGAAGGTGAATCACAGGGACCACAATGGAGAACTAGACGTATTTATTGCAATTCCATTATTTCTTTCCCTACCATTCTACCTGGAACAAATTGATGAACTACATTATAAAAGTCTGAATTAATTATATAGATTGAATGTTGTTCATACCAAGATTAATACTTTCTCATTAATCTACTAGAGTTCCTTGAAAATATCCATTTCAAATAGTGAAAAGATGTTAATAAGTCATAGGCCAAGGGACCGGTCATCTAACAGACTGTGAATCGGTTAAAGTATAAGAAGTCCAGAGGAGGCTGAAAGTTTACTCCTTCAAAAAATAAGTGTGTTGGAGTATTAAATAGTGGGGCACATAATGATCTGTTTTGGTACTGATAGAGATCCTAAATGTTTTGCACACACCCCACTTGTTCTCAGGAGATACTTACCTTTTTCTTCTTCCAAGGTGAAGAATTTTCTATTCAACAGCCTATGGGACAGGTTGTCTTTAATTTTCCTGTACAATTACCTTTAATTATTTTAATTGTTTTTTATTGTGCTTACACTGCTATTTATTGCTACAAACCTAGGAAATTTTCTGGAAAGGTAGGTGTCAAATCCGTGTATACAAAAGAACCAAATACATTTTTTTTTTACACAAGACTTGCTTAAGATACAGGGTTCAGATTAAGCAGATGTTTGCTGATAGCTGAAATGGTGCTCAGCAGACTTAGCCCATTCATATGTGAACTATGGTCTAGGAGGTTGGGTTTTCATTAATCTCCATGCCCATAAATTCCAGATTGTAGCTTGCTGAGTATAACCCTTATGTAATAAAACTAGACAACCCGGGATCTCTTGAGGTCATTATTTCAAAGATATTTCCTTAACAAAAAAACAGAATGACCAAATGCAAAAAAAAGCAGTGGGAGTTAGTTCTGACTTCCACCTTGACCAGAACTGATTGCCAATGGTGCAACCGGCCTGCCGGGCCTCTGGAGGATTAGTACAGGACCTGTCAACTGAACCAGGAAGGAAAAAACGAATGCATAGTTATAGAATAGGTGGTACCTGGCTCGACAGTAGTAACTATGAGACAAATCTAGTAAACCACTGCTTAAGTGCTGCACCTGCCAAATAAAAAAGCCAATACAATCCTAGGCTGCATCAACAGAGGGCTAACATCAAAAATCACAAAAAGTGATTATGCTGCTTTATACTGCACTAGTGAGTCTGGACTTGGAATACTGGTCACCATGGTACAAAAAAGATGCTGGGACCCTAGGAAGTGTGCAGAAAACAGCAACTAAGATGATGAGGGGTCTGAAGGCTAAATCATATGATGAACAGTTGAGGGAGCTAGGTATGTCTAGCCTATGAAAGAGAAGGATTAGGAAGGATATGGTAACTGTCTTCCAGTACTTGAGGGACTGTCACAGAGAAGAGGGTATTGACGTATTTGCTAAGGCATCAGAGAGCAGGACAAGAAGTAATGGATGGAAGCTTGTTAAAGAAAAATCCAATCTAGATGCAAGTAGAAAATTTCTGACAGCAAGAACAATTAATAAATGGAACAGCTTACCTCCCAGAGTTATGGGTGCTCTTATCACTGGAGATCATCAAAAATAGACTGCACAACCATCTGATTGGGATGGTGTAAGGTTTCCAATCTTAAGCAGGGAGTTGAACTAGAACTCTGAGGTCCCTTGACCTATGGTTCTATCTTCTTTTGAACCACACTTGAAGTCACTACAAATTTGTCAAATTTTAATCCCATGGGTGTTGGGGGTTCTGGATTTTGGATGCATTCTGTAAATTGGTTCATTTGAGGAACTTTGGCTGAAAAATTGTTGCCCTATGATGCTCTATTCCACTTAGTTCAAAGTTATAGACACAAGCATTTTAATAGACTATAGATGGCATTGATCTGACACTGAAGAAGGCACTATTAGCAGGTTTGAGAAGAGCCCAAACACTGTCAAAAAAAATCTTTATGAAAAAACTCGTTCAGCTCGAATATAACTACCTGTTAACAGAGGAAGGTAAAAAGTTAATGGATTTGGGAATGGAACAGGAACATTTTTTGTATTTTTGTTGCAAATCCCATTTTGTATCTTTAGTAATTGCGAAAAAGTGCAAGTGAAGGAATACCAATATGCTTCTGTGGGTTTCTCAGAACCATTATTTCTTTCTTAAATTCACCCTGGACTTCTTAGTGACAGTCTATGAGCATTCTAAAGATGGTTGACAGTGGCTGGCCTTTGTTGGAAACCTGAAGCTGCCCTGCATGGCTATTTGGTGTGATGCAGCAGAAAAGAAATGAATTCTCTTAATTTAATAACTTTTTCTCTCTGGGTGTGAATAAATATATCAGTCAGGTCACTGTTACTGACATTCTAGTTCTTGATTTTGTAAATACAGCAAGCAAGCTAAATCAGCCAGTTCTAGCAGGAAATATGCTCCCACAGCAAGGAAGACAGCTGTAGGAAAGCATTTAAATGAAATAGTCCACTAAATGCTCTTCCAAGCGTGGTGTTTGCAATATCATTCCCATTTTGAAATTGTCATGGTGATAAAGCCAAAGAATGATCATTAAGCATATTTGCCTATTGGTCTAGGACAAGGGTCAGCAACCTGCGGCTCTGGAGCCGCATGTGGCTCTTTCACCCCTCTGCTGCGGCTCCATCACTCAAAATATGTGTCACAACCGCCAATGTGCAACACCCGCCAGCATGCAATTTATTGAGCTTTTCAACCCCGGTAGGCCAACCATGGATAAATCCAAGAAAAGTAACGTTTCAGAAGAAAACAGAACCTTTAATTCAACAACATATGCTAGCTTTGTAGCCGCTCAATAGTCAGGCACGGGAAGGGTTTTGTGGCTCCTGGTGTTTTCTTTTCTGTGGGAAATGGGTCCAAATGGCTCTTTGAGTGTTTAAGGTTGCAGACCCCTGGTCTAGGACTAGTTTACTAGAGAATAATATGAAAGAGAAGAGGGGCCACTATGTATGGAAAATGGAGATTAGAGGACCTTCCATTGCTTTTATCAACTTGGATCTGCCTTAAGCAGTCCTGCTTCAACTGACCACTATTTATTATTTATTATTTATTAATTCAATTTGTATGCCGCCCCTCTCCAAAGACTCAGGGCGGCTCACAATGCATTTAAAATCATTATAAAAAACATTTAAAAATTAAAAACATTAAAACTCATTCATACCATTCATGGCCGGATCGTAAGTGCGAGATCAACCACTATGTGGTGCTGTTGCAAGGTTGTGTGCTCCCTATTTTTTCATGCTAAATCTTCCATCTCTTAAGTAAATCCTAGATAAGCAATGCAGAGATTTTGCTTAGCTAGGAGCTGTGTAATGTAACTTGTAATGGTTATAGCTAGAAATCCAGACTTCAATCAACCAAGCGTATGTGCATTCAGGAGGCCAAACGCATGAAACTGCTGATTGAATCAAGGCAGCTAGAGAGGAAGTAAACCATTACAGAATCCACCCCTCCCTCGTGAATTATGGAGACTTGATTGAAATGATACTACCTTTTCTCTTTTTTCAGTTATATCAAAAGATAATGTGATATACTAATTTGACAAGGACAATAATAATAGTTTTCTATTCCAAATTTTTCATGCACTATACAATGAAATCAAATCAAAATTAAAGAAGAAACTAAGAACCCAACATAGTAAAAAGGCTTTTAAGGTTTCCTGGCCCTTCCACTGGTAGTAGATTGATTCCATCTCATTGAACAGAAGTAATTTTCAGAAAGTATTCTAAAGTACACCTTAGCACAGTGTTGGTGAACCTTTTTTGTACCAAGTGCTGAAACAGGAGCATGTGCGTGCGGGGGAGCACCGGAAACTGGAAGAGCTGATACCTTAAAGATGTGGTGGATTCCCCTTCACTAACTGGTACAATATACTTTAATTTGGATTCCAGCATTGAGTAGGGACTTGAACTTGATGCATGCCTATGCATGATCATAATTTTATTGCCATTTACCCTCACTCTAATATGATGGTCATTTCAACATAAAAATGCTGATGGATTGTTTGCAGGCCCAAGCTTCGTGTAGCATCCTTGTTGGCACACCTATTACACAATTTACAGCAATGCAGTTGATCTTTTATAGTTTTGTTTACTAGCTTCTCCTCAAGATACATTAGAACTGGAGTCATCTGAATGTGTGCTTGTGCCCAGGTATGGATATAAATAGGAGAAATCTTTTTGATCAGAAAAATTAAGAATGGCAGCTGAAGTAGGTGTCCCAAAAGTGCTTCTTCCGGAGGAAACTGGACTTTCTTGTTTTTTCTTTTGAAGACGTTTTGCTTCTCATCCAAGAAACTTTTTCAGCTGAGACAGGATAGTGGGGAAGAAGCTTCTTGGATGAAAAGCGAAACATCTTCAAAAGAAAATCAAATCAAAACAAAACAAGAGTTGCTTCCGGAAAAAGCACCTTTGGGACAATCATGACCTGGATGACTGAGAATCTCTACAAACTTTTAGCTGAAGCAGGTATTCCCCAGACTGATTTTTCATTTTTTTTTAAGCTCTTTCTAAAAGTAGATGAATTGCATTAGTAGCATGACATTGGTAAAGGGTGCTTAATACTTATGGATGCTGGGTAATAAACGCAGCTTTCATTTTAACAGATGAAACTATGCTAGTTGCATTTCTGTTGCTTCCCTCTCTTTATATTTGTTAAAAGCCTGAGTGTCGGGTTCCAGTTCCTATTTTTAGGCTGCGAGTATCCTTCTACGCCGTAACCAAGCAAAAATGAAACATGATGCCGGGGCATGTAATTTATTTTGTTTTGTAATAGCTTAGTCACAACGATATTGTATTGTGCCTTCAAAAATTGTAGTAGGTGGCTGTGATGGTTTGAGAAGGAAAGATGCAGACACAAGAGACTCTGCCTGGTCCTGAAACAAATACGAGTTCAGTAAAAGACCTTGGGAATTGTCTACGCTGCCCATAAGGAGGAAGTCTCAGGAGAGGATACACAACACTGTCAACACCAAGCCCAAAATATCAGCTTTTAAGTTGCTTCTTCCTAGCATTTTTCCGTTAAGTTCGTTTTTTTTCTAATCAACTGAGCGCTAATCCATTAGTGGTGACATTGACCAATCAGCTTATTGCTCAAGTCTGACATTGTGCGTTGAGAGTGGGTGACTAGTCATCCAATTGGCTTTCATCTTGAAGGTGGGACTAGAACTCACTGTCTTCCGGTTTGTAGCCTGGAGCCTTAACCACTAGATCAAACTGTCTCTATCAAGCTACTTATAGTAAAAATAGAGATGTAACAATATCACTTTAAAGGAAATCTGGGACCTTGGGAGGCAAACACAGAGAAGCAAAAGATCATGACTCCTACAAAATTAAGCTGAACTTGACATCTATTCACATATTCTTAAGAGTGATAAAAGCTGCTCAAGGAAAACAGCTTTTTGTTTACCAGCCACATTTCCTTTGTTATACATGTAGTCCTTGACTTACAACCATTCGTTTAGTGTCTGGTCAAACTAACAACAGCACTGAAAGTCACATGACCATTTTTCACATTTACGACTGTTGCAGCATCATACAGGTCATGTGATCAAAATTCAGACGCCTGGCAGCTGACTTGTATTTATGACTGTTGCAGTGTCGCCGGGTCATGAGATCACCTTTTGTGACCTTCTGACAAGCAAAGTCAATGGAGAAGCCAGATTCACTTAACAACAGTGATACTAATTTAACAACTGCAGCGACTCACTTAACAATTGTGGCAAGAAAAGTTGTAAAACGGGGTAAAATTCATTTAAGAACTGTCTTGCTTAGAAATGGATATTTTGGGCTCGATTGTGGTCATTAAGCCGAGGACTACCTGTAGTTAAATGTACAAAAAGAGGGGAACTTTGAAGATGAAATGACATCATTGCAGAAAAAAATATATATTTTCAAAACGAGTATATTTATGGAGCATATAGTGGAAAAAATTTCAGCACAAAAAGTTTTTTAAAAAATTCAGCACAAATAGTTTTTAAAAAATAAAAAAGGAAGAGGGAGTAAGCCCAGTTCCTCAAGAGGATACATCTTAGGTTAACCGTAGAAGCTCCTACATGCTCCTATCGTATTCCAGTATGTTATTCCAATCAAGAAGATTGCCTTTACTGACCCAAGAATGTGAAAAGATGTGTCTGCTCCTCTGCGTGTAACAGCATCTTGATCACCAACAAAGGACAGATGCAACCACAGTTCACTGGAATGCTATGATCAGATGCAGAGCAAAGTAACCATTCAGCTCTCTCTGCTGGTGTAAAATGCATAATATTTTATCACAACCCTTGGCATAAAATAAGATGAAATGGTTTTTCAGCATCCATATTTGCAGAAAGCTCTTTTCCAGGCCCGAGTATGGCAGCTTGTATGTAGAATTCTTTCAAGGCAGAGGTCAATTCAGTTTTTTTAAAAAAACAATTTCTAAACTTCTAAGCTTTTGTACTTTGGATGGACATGTAGGACAAAGGGCCTCTGATATCACAAGGGATTTTACGTTTTCTAAATGTAAAGGCATATGAACTGTATGGTCAACGTCTGGGAAATACAATGGGTGCAGTGGAATCATTGCGATGGCTGGACAAAACGCTTGCGTCACTGTGTTCCTTAAACCTCCTCTTGCTTACAAAGAGCCTCAAAGTAAACTTAAGAAGGGAAAGATAGGTTGACCGAAGAGAGATGGCAATTTTTCCATTAACACCCCGTTGCTCAATTCTGCTGTTCATTTTACCACCATTGATGATAGTAGTGATGCTTTTAAAGACTATACCAAATCCCTGGGGCCCAGCAAAAGCCCCAAGCAGCTTTCAGTGTCTTGTCTAGGTGCTTTTAAGCTCTGGACTTCTGCCAGAGTCACACACTGACCCTCCTCCTATTACTGGGTACCTAAAGCTGTAGAGAAGATTTACAAGCCAACATCTTGTTTCATAAACAGGTAAAATTTTATATTCATGTAAAACAGACCAAAATAATAAAAAATATATACACACGCGCACTACAGATCACAATACTAGAGAATATTAACATACAGAGAAGTGCAAACTTCCCTCCCCATTTAATTGGCTTTTAAAGTTTATTACAGAGATTAATCTGGCTTATTCGGAAATGTGAAATACAGCTCACATCATGTATTACAGATATATCAAGAAATTCTAGAAATCTGGAAATTCTTTTTTAAAAGCTTTTTATACAAAGGGGAAAGAGAGTGCCAGCAAAAATTCAATGAAAACATACATTTGTCACTCCAATATCAAAAAGCATAATTATTGGTGAACACAGGCAAGTCTATAAAACTACCAGCCATTTGTGTTAAGATCTTTTTTTCCCCTCTCCATTTTAAAGTAGCATTAAAAAGGATAAAAAGTGCACACACACCCTTATAAGGCACGAACAGATTTTCAGAACAAATTAAAAAAAAAAAAAAAGGGGGGGGGGAAACAAGCAGTAGCGAAAACTAATTGCTAAGTAGCCTCCACTTCCTAAATGTTGTGTCAGCGTATGAGACTTCCTTCTGAAACTTCAGTAAGCAGAACTGTGTTTCCATTTAAGCTTATGACTACCTCTGTCAGATGCTGCTTCATTTGGTAAATCTTTTTTAAGATAAAGAAGGCCCTTTTTCTGCCTTGGCACCAAGCATTTTGCTTTTTGCAGTTATTGTAGGCATAAATTGCCAAGCCAGGAGGAAATATGTTCACTTAGCTAAATCAGTTCCAGTGCAAAGGTTTACGGCAAATGCTCAGGTAGGTTTTATATTAAATGGCTGATGATTAAATAGACTCAAGTGACAGTTCTGAAAGAGATACTAGGAGGCTACGTGTTGCTGAGAATATCAGTGTTGGAGGTTGTAAATAGCACCCAAGTGGGGAAAACATCCTTGGATTTATCATACCGGCCACAATGTAGAGTTTTGTACTGTTAATATATTCCAGCCCCTTGACCAGGTCTGATTTCTGAGACTACCCCATAAGAGCAGCAAAAACAAAGGAAATCTGTAATATTCACTATTCTTCATCGCAATCCTATTGCTGGGAGACATGCTAGAACTAGACAATAGCACTGTAATACTAAAAGTCTGTAGTAATAATTAGGGATCTGCAAAAAATTCTGGATCTGAATAATCTCCTACTGATCTTGTCTGAATACCCCACCTACCAAGTTCTCTTGGTGTAGAACTTGAGCATTCCAAATATTTTGGAAGAGTTTTGAGCTCATGACACTTCCAAAGTGTTCAGATCAGCCAATTCACATTCAAAATAGGGTGTTTTGAATTTCAAGTGTTTTGCACATCCCCAGGAGCAATCTGTAGAAGTTGTGATCACATTAATTTAGAAACTCTCTGAGAACGAACTCTCTAATCAACGGTAGTGAAAAAGTAGCAAAAGTCAAGGAAAATAATGCTGCTGATTTGAGCCAGAAAATTTTCTATACAAGTAAAAAGTTACAGTTCACAAAACCACTTCTAGCAAACAATTATCTTAACTTGCAAAATTACTCTTGACCAAGCATCTAAACTTACAATGAGATAAAGATGATAGAGATGAGTTTCTTCCTCTCCAAGTCTAAATGCAGCTTCTATGGCAGGAGTGAGCAAACTACAATCCATGTGTAAGACCTCACGTTTTTCACTCCAGGATCACACTGTCAAAAATGGGCAATGTAACCAGGAATTACACTGGCATTTTTTTAAAATTTAAACCAATTTATCAACAGCAAAAGTACTAAAATATTCATGCTAAGCTCTCTCTAAAAGTTTGAATCTGGCAATTCCAGGGTTATTATTATTATTAGCATTCTTTATGGCCTTCAACAGTCAGAATAACCTTATTCCTTAGAAATTTTTGCTTGTAATTGCTCAAATCCATCATAATACAGTCTCATCTTAAACAGTGAAACAATCTCTGTTATCCAGCTTTCTCATGTACATAGGTGACATCTATGGCTAGAAAACTTGAAATTAAAGTCAGCTATGGTCAAATTGTTATAAGAATCCAGAAGCTGCTGAAAGCAGCCTGTGAATACAAGTGTAGCTGATGATTTTACAACTCATTATTTATCACAAAACTTGAATCTTAACGTTCTCAGCCATTTTTTCCTAATAACTGATTGCACTGCAATGCAAACTTCATTACTCAAGTTTACATGGTAAGTAGAATATAAAATGTATATTGCAACGTTTACTGGAAGCCATCATGTACCACAATGGCTATGTTTCTGGGAAAAAAATTCAATCAGAGCTTAGATGGGTCCTAGCAATGACATGAGAAGAAATGAGCGCATATGGTATCCTTGCAATTTCATCAGTTCCTCTAGTACAGGTATTACAGGAACAAGTCAAAAAACAGTTTAAAAGCAGCTTTGGCTCCCATCAATTACATATCAGAATATAGAAGTTGTCGTAAAGGTAGAGCTTTATAGTAGATAAATTCTATTAGTCATTTTGCTGACTAAATGGATAGGCTACAATTGGGGATTAATATCGCTAGGACCTCCAAAATCAGGGAGAAGCTGATCTCAAAATCAGAGCTTCCAAAATCAGGGAGAAGCTGACTTCAGACCTCTGCGTTTGAGAAGGAAAAAAAAATAGGGGCGGCAGAAGGAATGGGGATGTCTTCAAGTCAGTCTTGACTCCTGGTGATTGCCTGAATTAGTCCCTGCAGTTTTCTTCTCTGTTCATGTAGCAATAAAATAGAATTAGCATACAATAGGGTTGAATAAAGTAGAATTTAGCTCGTCTGGTCTACTTCCTGTCTGAGGTACCTGGGAAAGGTCACATGTATAAGTGGTCCTTGACTTACAACCACAATTAAGCCCAAAATTCCTGTTGCTAAGTGAAACATTTGTTAAGTGAGTTTTACCTCATTTTGCGACCTTTCTTGCCACAGTTGTTAAGTGAATTAAGTTATTAGTATGATTGATAAGTGAATCTGGCTTCTCCACTGACTTTACTTGTCAGAAGGTCTCAAAAGATAATCACAAGACTCCAGGCCACTGCAACCATCATAAATATGAATCAGTTGCCAAGCATCTGAACTTTGATCACATGACCATGGAGATGGTGCCAACGGTCATAAATGTGAAAAATGGCCATTAGTGACTTTTTTCAGTGCCATTGTAACTTTGAATGGTCACTAAATGTGAACTGCTGTAAGTTGAGGACTACCTGCATTTTAACCACTAAACTAAACATGCTCAACTTAGCTCATTGGACATTTAAATTTTCAAAGATCGTTGAACATTGGAGCCCTCCAGAACAGTGTACAAGTTCACTCTCTTAGAAAAAAAAGAATCCACATCTGGGCCTAATTTAGTAATTCCCTGATTGTCCTTCATGTATTATTTAGGTTATAATTCAGCACTAATACTATAACCAAATTTCATTTATCTTTTAAGCACAGGTCTAATAATAGCTTGAAAATTCCTTTTCCCGCAAACAGTGCCAAATAAAAAAGCTTTTCAATTTCAGTAAGATGCCTCCATTGTGGAACAGCAGACAACTTCCTGGAGCGGAAGATATGAGTTGGACATTGCTACATACTTTGTTGACAAAATCTCTGGAGAGAAATGAAGGAAGATATCAATCAACTGTATTTATAAATCATAAATAAGAAAACACTGGAAGCTTGAAATTCTAAATAATCCATTAGCCACTTTCGTCTGCAACTTAATTAAAACGATACCTTCATGTGTTACACCTTACAGATGCTGGGCTAATAACTATTCACAGCCTCTATCATAAGCTGGTGGATCACATATAATAAGCCAGGACTGGTTGCTTATTCCAGTGATCTGAATTCACACGACATGCTAAGCCAAAACCAAACTAACAACATGACACTGTACTGCTTCTTCTGCCTGCAGAGGCCTACTGCTTTCCACACACTCTCCAGATCAGAAAGCACTTGTTAATTGCTCACTAGAAAGGCTGGAAGTATCAAGTCACACAGAGGTGAAAAATAAAATCCTGAGGGAATCATTATAGCTCTCTGTGTGTGCCAGACTCTCCCAAGATGCCTTGTTCTTGATTTCATAAACTGAGCCACAACTTCTTACATTTGGGAGAAAAAATGAGTAGTCCATGTTGTAAACCAAAAATAAAATCTAATAAACTTAGATTTATGAAAATATCGCTGCTCTTACACATTTGATTGGGAGTAATTGATTAATTAGATAATCCCTATTCATGATCTTGATTTATGAATAATACGAAAAAAACTTTGAAATAAGTAACAGAATATTCGTGACCTGTTATTCCTGCAACCCAAAGTAAGAATAAATGAAAATCTACTCTCATTTTCTCTATTTGAACTGGCTTACAAATCAAACTAATTTTTAGCATTCCTAGATATAGCAGGAAAGAATCCCAAATGTTTAAACTGGTCTAGTGACTTCTCATTTATCCTGCTCAAGATAGGTCAGCTGCATATATGAGTGAAAACAATGCACAAGATCTTTTTGGTTTTCTTTAGGAATCAACACGGCAATTGTATTAGGACTCCTTTTCCCCGGGGCCCCACCCTTATCCATCGGAGCAGCATCTTTCCAAAACTCTTCCCACTCTGCAACTGTATACTTTCAGCCTCTTACAAAGACAGAGTGTTTCCCAGTTCACTTAATTTTCCCTGATTTGTTTCTACTGGTCAAAACATGGAAATACAGACAAGAGTCACTCAGCAACCACTGACCAGCACAATACCCATAAAGCAGGGACAGTAAGGTGTGGCAATCGCTAACAACATTCTTCATCCTGCTCCTCATTAATCACGCCCTGAGGGGTGGGCTGAGGTGAGGTTAAGGACGGTAGATTTTGATAATGTCTTTAATGACCCGTCGGCAGATTGGACAGCAGGCATTGAGCTGTTTCTTCAGTTTAAGACCACAGGTGTTGCACAGGCACATGTGTCCACAGGTATAGATCACCACATCCACCTCGTTGTCAAAGCAAACTGTGCATTCCCCATTCTTGCTGCTTGAGGGCTCTGGAGGTGAGAACACAGGAGACACTGGAGGACTCAGAGGAGAACTTGGAGCAGTCACTATATGGGATGGGAAACAAAGGAACTGTGGTTAGAAATGTCATCTCCTTTTCTACAGGTCAGACTAAAAAGGAATAATTCAAATTATTTTTCTAATGAGAAAAAGAACTTTTGTACAGTAAACATTAAAGACGCAAAAAAAGACAGGAAAAAAAAGTTATGTCATTATACCGGGAGTGAAATCGGACTGCTGGGCAGAGAAGACAAATATCAGCCAGGCCCAACTGGAAACAGTTGGCAAGACAAAAGTGCATTAAAACAAATAGAAGATGAATTTTATATAGCAATATAGACCTGCTTTCATTGAAAAATGCTAGTATCTTCTAAAGAACTTTTTATCCGCGTGCCGAAGATGTGCATGACATGAATGGAATTTGGGGTGGCTAACAATTACATAGCATGAATGCTTGTGTCTTGAGGGGGGAACTTGGGTGCAATTTTTAACTATTGTTTAGTTCATTGTTTGTAATGATGTGTTTATAATAATGGCTGTACCAGCCTTTTATTAAGGGTATCTACTTCAGGCTACCTACAGATGCTTCCCAGTTGCACATCTTTCTGGTGCAGAAGAAATGATGATGATGATGATGATGATGATGATGATGATGATGATGATGAAATAGCCTAGTCTTTTAATCCAACTGTGGCTGAGAATATACGGACTTTGCATTTTACACATCTTTTGGACTTTCATACAGATTTTAATAGTGTATGATGAAGTCATACTGAATTCTAAGTTTCATTAGATAATAGGATTGTAGCAAACAAAATACCCTACATTCATTCCCCGCATGACTTCATTTTTCTTGCTGGGAATCACCTTTTCTGATGGCCCAAACTATGAGCTGAAGTCTCAGTCATGTTTATAACCCATGTTCTTGCTGATTGTATGCAAACATTTTAACAAGCACATTCTTAAATGAGATAAATATATTGGGAGAAAACCACACTGAACGCCTTTAAAAATGCTATAATGATTATAAAGATGAGAAAATATTTTCCTCCAACCTAATAATTGTAGGATAGAAAATGCAAAGGAAGAAATAACCATCTTCTCTCTCCCACCTCTCTCATTTTCCCTCCTTCCCCCACATTTCTTTGCAACTAGATTAGTAATTGAGAGGGAGATGGAATCCAATCTATATGGATTCCTTCATGCAGTAACCATCAATGCATTGGGAAACTAAGTACATGCACGTTTGCTCTCTTTCTGAGGATCAATCAATATTAAGGAAACCAATGAACTACCATAATATGTGAAAAGCAAGTATGTCCTGGTGAAATATGACATTTAGAGAGTCAGCAGTTTGGCTGACTTTGCTGTTTACATTTATTTTCTACCAATAAACTCTCTAGCACTAGTTTTGACAGATGGAGATTTTCCACTTAGTTGCTTGTATCCCTTAAATGTTGTTCCTTAGCTCTGTCAAGTCATTTCAGCTCTATTGGGCTTTTATTGCTGCTTTTATAAAAGAAGATTTGTGCATAACCTAAAGACATCCAAAAGCAACCTCAGGAAATTTACTGTTCCTTCCTCTCAACAAAAAACTATGCTAGCATAGTTCAGCAAGCCTTATTTCAGACAACTCAGCCCATAGAGCTTGGTTTATACTGTATTTACTAGGGTACTGAATGTAAATATTTCAAATGCAGAGATCAGCAAACGATCCTTACCGAGGGACGACTCAGAAGCCGATGAAGACCGGTTCACGCTGAACGCCATATCCGAATCGCTGTCATATTGTGAGCCTCCAGGGGATCCTGAGGGGGAGATGGTCACAGGGCTGGATTGTACTGTGCCTGAAAAGAAAAAATTCAATCAGCTGCACAAGTTGGGTAGGAATCTGTCCGGAACAAGTGCTCAATTTGAGTTCAATCTGGGAACAGGAGAACAACTTCTATTTCAGCTTCACAACAGTCAGTGGTGGGTGGTGGCGGAAGCCAGTAGAGGTGGTGGCGGAAGGCTCTGCCCACCCGCCCGGATGTAATCACGGATGCTTTGCGCATGCTCAGAAGATTCTGCGCACATGCACGCTCCCAGTTCCGAACCGGTAACAAATGTAAATGGAACCCACTACTGACAACAGTCTTACACAAATAACTATAATCTAACTATATTGTATTACTTTTTAGCAGGTTTGTTCATTTAAGATGATGAGCATCCTCTACTCTAAAACAAGATTCATTTTCATGAAGGAAGGTGAATATACATGTTTCAGGATAATGTTGCAGGATCCAATCTGAGTCGGTTACTGGGACCAGAGATTTGTCTTCTGAACTTCTCATTAGAGAGAAGTTCCCTGAAGATGAGCTCCATCATGAGTCTGAAAGCTCAGAAGACAAAATCTCTGGTCCTGGTGACTGATCCAGATTGAGTCCTGCAAGAGTCACTTTCCTCCTAGCCCCCCCTTTTTTTCCAGGCTCTAGATTATATTCAAGTAGTAATATTGAACCAGAAGAGATCCAAATTTTCTTTGTAAAATGAAATGGATATTTAATCTAGCACACTCTGATGCAAGGGAAAGATTTCCCTATTCTTCTTAAAATGGCATTCTGTTGTGTCTTGGTAAACAGACTCATTATTAAAATGTAACCTCATCTCCTCACTAATAAGGGTATATCCAAAGAAGCTTATTAGCCATTATAGCTAAGTGGACCCCTCCTGTTTCAATACCTGATATTAGAGACAATAAAGGACAGGGTAGACCTCATGTTTCATGCTTAAGCACCTAATTCTCCTTTTTTGAGAAGAGGTAATTAGGTAATCCCATGGTTGATTACACGTGACAGTTCTTTCTACACTAGTAAATCCTACTCCGGATTCTGATATTTTCCAGCTGTTAAACAATCCTTTCAGTTGCACTAAATGACTTGTAAGTCCTAGCAGTGGTGCTAGAGAGCAATGCTAGGACTATCACAGATGCTTGCTACGGAACCGTTCTTGTACTCTGGTCAGATTGGATACTAATTCTTTCCTTTCTGCCTGAACCTAGTTTGGTGAACTCAAACAAATGGCAACTAGTGCAGGCTATTTAGTTTCAGTTTATAAAAAGGAGTTAAAAATACATGCTTGATGAGCAAAGGATAGGTATACCTGTCTTTTTAGTCAGGTATAACAGAATAACAGAGTTGGAAGGGACTTTTTCTAATCCAGTCCCCTGCTCAAGCAGGAAACCCTATACCATTTCAGACAAGTGGCTATCCAGTCTTTTCTTAAAAACCTCTAATGTTGGAGCATCCGAAAGATATAAATTCATATTTTAATCATCCTCATACTTGTGCTCATGAAACTTTAGTTGGTCATCAAATTAAAGTGCAAAGCGTTTAGCCAATTGGCTGTTCCAAGCTAAAAAAAAAAAAAAAAAAGAGGATCTCTCCAAATGGCTGTAAGGGTTTTCACTGTTTTGCTAGCACTTCCTTTACAATATTCTGGTCATTGACTTTGAAGCTATACTTACTTACCTAATATTTTTAGCTGATTGATTACACCATGGATTGAGAAGAAAACCCACAGTGATTGTGAGGTATCAACACACATCAGCATCCCACGGTTCATCCCATTGATTCCATGATGCACTTCTCCATTTGGCAAAAGCACAAAGTTGAGGATGTCACCATTGTTGAGGACAGGGAAACCTCGGCAAACCACCCAGTACTCCTTGCGATCCAGAAGAAAATCTGGGTCTGCTGGGAGCTCATTTGTCCGTAAAGTACCAGGATCACAGGAAGTGATACCAAACGTGAGGGCCCCATAATATGGCAAGCCCAGGTGTCCCACTTCCACAAACAAGCTTTCACCGATGTGCAAAGGTCGGTCAGAAAACACCAAGGTTCTGTTGCTTTCCTGCCAGTTGGTGCAGGCAGACATACGATCCTGAGAAAAGTTAATATCAGGCCCATGAGTAGGGTGGAAATGAAGATCTGTGTCTAGAAAGGCAGGCACAATTTGCCCAAGCTGCCTCCTGCTTGGGCAGCAGGGAATTGTATGATTATCTGTGGGCAGCCCAGGCATACGGCTCAAATTCAGATTTGCAATTTTGGCAACCACTTGATTGTTCTCCAGCTCATTGTTGTTAAAATTGGCCGAATCGTGGTTGCTCTGAGGAAGGCAAGTGCTGAGTCGTGCGTTGCTCAGACGGGTGGAGGTCATGGTCTCAGCAAACATGCTATCTGTAAAGCGAAGCCAAGATTACAGATAAATTACAAGTAGTGACCCATTCAAACTATTGTTTTGAGCTCCATTATGATTAAATCTTTTTACTTTAGCCCATTTTGAGTAGGTTATTAATAGTTTCAGCTCTATTTTTGTCATACACAAATGTCAGCAGTATTTTATACCAGTGTTTCTGAATTTTCATAGTTTAAGTGTAAACCAGGTTGTTCTAGTGGTTTAAGGTTGCAGTCTGGAAACTGGAAGCCCCTGAATTCTAATCTGATCTTAGCCATGAAAACCAGCTGGGTGACTTTGAGCCAGGCACTCTCTCTGACCCACCTCATCTCACAGGGTGGTTGTTGTGGGGAAAACAGGAGGAGGAAGGAATACTAGCTATGTTCACCACCTTGCATTATTAAAAATAATAAGGGCAGAATGTAAATTAAAAAGGGAAAGGAAAGTGGAATTGAAGATGGAAGCATAGAATTTAAAAACCAGTAGACTTGGGGTCTGATCTTTTTTGAATTCCAGTTCCCATCCATCTTAGTTCCCATCAGCGTTGCCTGGATACATATTGATAGATGTCTTTATGAAATTATTTTTTTTAAATTTGTATTTGTTATTTTTATATTTTCTATTTTATCTATTATTGTCCACTGCCTAGAGTCTTTGGTGAGATGGGCGGCTATATAAATTTGATAAACAAAGAACAAATGGATAATAATAAATTTGATAAACAAAGAACAAATGGATAAAAATAAGTTTTTATCCGGGAGGCTGAGGGTCATATGTTAGCTGCCCTTGCATTAAATTAAACCCCACTAAGTCAATTTAGTAACAATTTCCCAATTCATTGAAGTAGTTCAGTATATTCTTAGCATTCTCTTCAGGAGTCCTTGCACCTCCTTCTTTTTCAGCCATAAAAAAGAATGTATCAGGAAAGAAGTCTATTCCTGCTTACTGATCTCCCTTCCTCCAACTTGCAGGTTTTTTTTTAAAAAAAAACTTCTCTATCTTCCTTTGCCTTTGTCGCTGCCCCTCTAATTCACCAAGGGGGGGGGACATTTAATCACCTTACAGATCATCATTAATAATATATTGGATAATACGTTGCACATTAAAGCAACAGTTGTGACCTTCAAGCACACTAGATTCTTTGTTATTGACATGCCATGTGAGCAAGCAACTCTTCCCAGAACTACTTACATCTGATAACTTCAGATGTCAAGAAAAAAGATGCTTCTCATCCAAAAGCAATAAAACTGGAAGCAGACTGCCCCACAGTAAGCCATTCTTCTCACTCTTAAGTGTCACAGCTGAGAAAGAGGCAGGAGGCACATTGAAATTGTGTAATAATTTGTCAAAGGCTTAGGGTGCTTCTAGACAGAACTACAAAGCAGAAGACATAGGGCAGTATTTTAGCTTTCCTTCCTCTTTCAACTTTTTCCTTCCTCTTTCATTAGTGGTCAGAAAAATGTTGCAAAACACTATGGAAAAACAGGACAGCTACAAAACGCAAGACTACAACTTCTGGCTCTCTTGTCCAATTCCATTTTTTCTTTTAGACGAGGCACAATGAAAGCCTTGTCTGGAAGAATACTCGGCTCTCTAATTTTAGGCCACTCTGTGCATAGTATTCCACTGAAGTCATAGCACAATTTGTGGAAATAGTATGGAGAACGCATGATCCTACTTGTGGATGAGCTAGATCGGAGATAGGATAGGGTGGTCTGACTCTTGATTTTTGAGCGGCTTTTGATATAATCAACCATGGTGTCCTCCCGAACTTGCTAAAGGGAAAGGGGAACACGGAGTTACTGTGGTATTATTCCTTTCTCTGCATCTGGTTCAAATTAGTATTAGTTAGAGGGAAGAAGCTGAGCCTAAAACTTTTGATTTGTGAGATGTCTCAAGGCTCAGTAGTTTAGTTCCTCCTGGTCCAGAATACAGTAGCATTCTGTACAAGCAGTGATGGGAAAGTCTTGCTGTGGCAGTACAACAATTCTGGTGCATGAGCTATAGTGGTTACCAATTGGCTTCTAGAACAATTCAAGATGCTGGATGTCACCTATAAAGCCCTATATTACATAGGATCTAGCTATTGAGAACCATCTGGTTCCTATAATATCTACCTGTTCTGTGCTGTGACAGACATGGCTTACTTCAAGTCTTCTTGATTAAACAATGATCTAGTGAGTCCCATAAAGTGAACCTTCTCTACTGCACCTGCCCTTTGGAATAGCATCCTCCTAGAGCAAGGGTAGGCAACCTTAAACACTCAAAGATCCACAAAGCTCTTAACTGGAAGTTCCCATTCAATTCTGGAGCTGACCGGAAGTCCGGTTCCACCATCATAGTCTCCTCCTAGCACGGCATCCTTTTTCCTCTACCTGTCCTAACCGAAAGCCCTATCAATTGTGAAGCCAAACAGCAACAGGGAGGCACAGCAGAGGGATGAAAGAGTCACATGTGGCTCCAGAGCTGTGGGTTGCTGACCCCTGTCCTAGAGGTATGTAGCTGGTTCCAGCTAGCTGGCCTTCAAGTGTCCTTTATTACATCCTACATAGAATCAGGATATGATAGATCAAGTACATTATCATCATTCTATGCCAATATTTATTCTTTCTTTTTAATACAACTCCACAAAGAGTTGAGAAAGAATGAAAATAATATTTTTTTTCCAATTTCCTTTTACAAAAAGCACTGGAATATAAAATGAAGCCTGGAAAATAAAGTCACTCAGATCTATTCTTTTGAATTGCCCAAGGCCTGATGCTGTGTTGTTATTTGGAAAATGTATGGCTCTTGAAAAAATGGACAAGACCTTGTGATTGTTGTCCAGTGATCTCTTTATTAGGTCCATGTGTCTGCTGATTGGTAAAAGCTTCCTGAGATGTGATATAGTTGGATACATATGGTGATAAATTCAACTTTAAGAAAGGGGATAAGGATCCTTATTTTTGTTGAGGTCATCAGACTGCAAGTAGTCCTTAATTTATTGCTGGTCACTTAGCAACCATTCAAAGTTAGGATAGATCTCCATAGGACTACTTACAGGCCAGATTCAAAGCAGTGGCGGGCTGCTACCGGTTCGGTCCGGATCTTGTGAACCGGTAGTGAAGGTAAGTGGAACCCATCCCTGATTCAAAGTTATGATAAGTCATTTGCAATAGCCCATATTTATGGCCATTTGCAAAGTCTCACGATCACATGACCACAATTTATGGTTTTGGAGTTTTTTGGCCAAAAATTGGAATTTACTTCTGGTTTTCAGCAAAAAAAAAAGTTCATTCTAGACAAAGGGTTCATTTAACAGCTGCTGCAAGAAATTTGTAAAATCAGATGCTTTCATATGGTGATCTACTTAACAACCAGCATGACTTACAGTCATAATTGAATACCGTACTACCTGTAGAGATTCAGAGGACTCTGGAAAGAATTTATTATCTGAACTTGTTTCAACGAGATTCAAACTGAGGCATAATATGGAGGCAGCACTGATCACTCTGGTTGATGATTTTTGACAGAACTGGGATGAAGGAAAAGTGATTATCATGGTTCTTCTTGATCTCTCACTATCTTTCAGTAGAACTGTTCATGGTAAAATTTTAAATTAGATATGGGATTTGGGAACAAAGGGCATAATGTTGTGGTGACTCTCTTTTTTTATAGCCAATTTTTCTCAATGTTGACAGATGGAGAGAGGTTCATCCCTAAGATCCTGGTTTGCAAGGTGCCTCAGGGTTTGATGTTCTAGTTTATGTGTTCAACATCCACATGAAACTGTAGGGTCAGTCATATACTGACCTGGGGACAGATATTATCAGCATACAGTATTTGATATCTATGGCCAGAAAGGCCTTCACACAGATTCATCTGATTGATGAAGCAAATTCATCCTTTCCTGGAACTGATATTCCTTCTCACAGTCACTCATGTCTTGATCATCTTGAATGTGGATTATTGCAATTAATTCTACATGGGGTTGCCCTTGAAAACCACTTGGAAGCAGCAAGTGACCCAAAATGAGCAATATGAGCAGTTATGGGATATTTATGGATGTAGAGAGCCACAGAAATGGCCTTGAGAAGAATATTCAAACGCCATTACAGAAACAAGTGCATACATATTCCTTACACTCTGGAAAAGAAATAGTAGGAGTAGGCTTAGGTTGGCTCTTCAATGACTCAAGGAGTAAATCTTATATTAATAAAACACAGCCATTCCTGTGACATTGGTGGTCTATTCTGGTGTATTTCATAGGGTTGACATGTAAAGCCTCTGCTATGTGAGTAAACAGATTAGGTTTCTGCATTCAATTTAAGATACTGGCCATTTCCCAAAAGACTTAATGGCATAGGGATTGTCTCTCTCCCATTATTCTTGCCTAGCCCCAAATTTCTGACAAACTAGACATGGTTATTATCTGGTGGGACTTTGAAAGTGTGTCTTCCCTGTTGGGCACCAGAACTTTAGAACTGTATCGCTGTGATGGTTCAATGCCTCAATCTTGCAAGATTTATAAGAAAAAAAATATTTTTGCTAAATTCTGAGATAGGTTGGAGTGTGTCCATCAGATGTAGAGTGCCTGTTTTGGTTAACATATGTCTGTTCTGCCCATTATTCCCTCTGTTATAGTTGTGTTGTGTTGTGTTGTATTGTATCATATTGTATCTTAACATTGACAAGAATCAATGTTCGGTTGGAAGGCCTTAGAAATCAAACAGATAGAGTCAGGTTTAAAAAAAAAAACCAAGTGGTACTGATTTTTTAAAAAATGGCTTTACTTTTTATGGATGTGTGTTTAAACCATAATCTGACAAGTTCCATTAATGTATTCATTATATCATCTATAGAACATCACATAACATTATCCTGAAGCTAAATTATCCTCTGTAATCATGCCTATAATAGCATGAAGGGACTCCTTCCTTATAGAGCTGCAGAGAGATGCAGTAAACAACAAAAAGGTAAAACAGGGTGACTGGCAGCCGCTTTAGTCAGATAACCCATATTACACCAGAGGCATGTTCTGAGGGCACTTGAAACTGCAGACTACATCACAAGCATGAACTAAAATCTGAAGCAGGAATCATAATCCCTAATTTTCTGTAAACATATCCTAATAGACTTGCCTGAAAAGACAAAAGTAGGAACTGTATTTCTAGGTGGGATGAGTGAAATCATTTTCCCCCACCTCCTAAACTGTAGAAATTGGTGATAAAACAAGAGAATTAAGTTCATGTCTACATGAGATAAGAGTCACAAAGGAGGAGGGGGTGAAGGAGAACAAAACTTCCAATCTCTTAGATAGAAAATCACAATACTGTTGTCTATGCTGGTGTTTTCCAATAGACAGAAAAGTGGTGTTTCTTTTCTACCTAGGTGCAGATCTTACTTAAAAGCATGATAGGTCTGAAATATAATGTGAGACTCATAAGTAGCCTTTAAAAGAGATAACAGATATAAAGCCTATACTGCAGAAGAAAGAAGAGGATAGTCCTTCCCTACATACAGATGCATACGGCTACTATCCTAAGAAGTCAAAGGATGAGCCAACGAAACTTTCTTTCATGTACACGGCCTTCACAGTCACTGGTATACACGATTCCAAAAGCTAAAGCCTAATTGAAACTAAGAGCAAAAATTTGCAACCTTATTAGGTTATGAAGGGACGCTACAAGCATTAAACCTTTGCCCTCACATATTTATTATTGCATAATTTAGTTAAAATCCAAATTGGTCATATTAGAGAACATAAAGACAGATTTCCATAGGACTTCTTAAAAGAATATTTATTTGATTACATCCTGCCTCTTCCTCTGGAGTTGAATACTTCCTTTGAGGAACCAACTTCTCACATGCTAAGTTTAGTGTGCAGCTTGCTGTTACATGTGTGCTCAAGAGATAGCAATGAAAGCTTCCTACACTCAACTCACTGGGCTTGCATGAAGGCTGGACTGCTAAATTCCATCTACACTTCCAGGCTAAGATAGCCTGTTGAATGAGATATTTGGGATCTTTCCAGTCCCTTAATGAGGGCTCCACTTCTGGTCATCTGATTGAGCAAGAAGAGGGTGGCTTAGAACTGCTTCTAGACATCTCTGTAAAGTTTGCTAGTTTTAATTTTGCTTATTTTTTGTGGTTTAATATTGCATGAACCCAGGCCACCTGATCAGTTTATGGTCAATGTAAACCTAGAAAAAGGATTATTTTTAATTGGCTAAACAATGTTTCAGCACAGTAAAAGAATTGGGGACCCAATGAAAATGAAAATGAAGATTGGCACCTGAAATTTTCAAACAGGTAGCAGCTTCACTTAAAAATGCCTTTGTTCAAGAGGCTAACTGAGAGAATGAGACTGTTTATCTTGTGACCAAAGGCCAGTTCAAGAAACTATATGGCATTGGAACCATAAATGGAATATGCCCTACTTTTTATCAGTAATATTTTCTGACCCTTCTAGCTTTCTACTTCAATCAAAATGAAAACCACAAAGGGGAGAAAAGGAAAAACAATCTGCAGCAATCTTATTTCAAAATTCAGAAATTCAATTTGGCTTCCTGGCCAGCATATAACAGTTCCTGTGTTTTTTAAGATTAGCATCTAGGATACACCTACCTAGTATTTGCACTTCATGAGTGATCCCGTAGACATCTATCAGCGCCCAGAGAGGACCAGAGACTTTGACGCCACAGTGAAACAGAATTGGCTCTTCATCATTAATGCTATAGAAAACTCTCCCTTGACGATCAACCCAGAATGCCAGGACATTGTCTCTTAGTGCAAACCTCTCTGGCAGAGCTTTAGCCCAGAAGCCTGGTCGGGTCACCAGGTCTGGACAGGCATATTTTGGAATGTCACCGGCATTCATCTGTGATGGATCGTGAATTGTGAAGCCAAAACGCAACGCCCCACTCCAGCCATGGTGCACAGATACCAGCTTCAGACGCACTTTCTCATAGAGGTGAATAGGACGGTTAGTGAAAGTGATGCCATTGCAGAAACTATTCCTTCGGATGGCCTTCCGAGAATGGGTATCCAGGCGGATGTTTTTTCCTTTGGCCTGGAAGTGGAATCGTGGAGGCTCAGTAATGGTGAGGACAGATCGTCTCTCATGGTTACCGTTGGGTAAGGTGTAATAAGGCCTGTGGGATACGGGACGAGCTTGATGACTGGTATCTGCAAAAAGGAGGAAGAAACAAGCAGTTAGTTAGAAGTGTCTCATAAAAACCGTTCTAAGATAGGCTGTAACCCTTTGTTTAGTGAGATTTGCAAGCTCTGTGCTTCAGTATCAAGAAATTAAATAAAAGTGGTTACCCTCTTATTTCTTATATTTGCAAGATTCTTTGTATTTTGACAATTTATTTTTTTTTTCTAAGTTGGAAAGGCTACCTTTTGAAACCAATATGTAACTCAAACCAGAATTTTAATGCTGTTAACTAAATTTTGCTATTGAATTAGCGCAAGTTAATGGTGTAATTGATGGGGCATTATCATTTTATTGCTATAGAGCAGCAATCCCCAACCACTGGCAGTGGCGGCGGCAGCAGAGATTGTGGCGGGGGGGAGGAGAGGGGACTGTTTCACATGTGCATTAACTGCTTGCGCAAATGGACCTCTGTGCGCTAGTCCACCGCTTACACAGCCTGGTTCCCAATGGTCTGCGGACCACTATTGGTCTGCAGACCAGGAGTTGGAGACTCCTGCTATATAGCATTTAAAGAGACACTGTTTGGGCAACTATTCTGGTTTTGCAGTAAGTATAGGAAGTTGATTTGCTGAACAATTGTTTCTAGATTATGAAATATTCGAGGCAGTTGCTAAATAATCACCAACCACAACTTCAGTCTTCAGAAGCCAGTGATATCTTTAGTTCTGGGTGCAAAGATTTTCTGTGTGCTACCCAAAAGGAGCCTTGTCTGATTTAAGAGAGGAAGAAAGAAATGTAAAAGAAATGCACAATGCACATTACGTGCCGTTCTTTTTATGACCCTCCCCTGCCAGCAAAAACTGTGGCTGGATCACGGAAGATGCATGCTCTTTGAAGTGCTTTGAACCACTAAGGCTATTTTCAACCTATGTATTCCAAAACAGAAAGGAAATTTGGTAATTCTGAAACAATGGAACACACTATTCTGTTTCAAGGGAATTTTTTTTTACACACACAAGTATTCATCTCCTTCAGGATATCATGTCTATCATTTAAGTTGGAAGAATTAGTCCACAGATACTAACTTTTTTAGTGGCAACAGTTGATTCAGACCAAACAACTAAGCATGTACCTCACTTAAATGTCCAGGAGAAACATAGCTTTTTAAAAGAGGTACCTGCTTGCTCTGATGCACTTTTTCAACTCTGGATCCAAAGTGCAACACAATCCTACAGAGAACTGGTGCTTCATACTTTCCATTTTATTGTTAACAATCTACATGGCATGGAATAAATATGTCCTAACCAAACACTTGTTTTGATCAGTCACAAATGGAGCCTGCATCCTACATTGTATCTATAAAATCCCACCACAGATTTGTATCCTGTTAAGGGGATAAATATATCCCCATCGCTAAGAAAAACCTTTATTTTCTTGTCGGGAAGATTTGTTGTATATCTTTTATTGATTCCCAGTTGATCATCATTTTTGCGAACATGTGCAGAAATTTGACCAACTGCATCCTTATTCCTCTTAGAAGCCCAGGTTCTGTGTTGTGTCACTCACTGAAAATATCACCATGTCCTAAACCATCTTTGTATCCATCTATCACGGTATGTATATCATCTGAACTTTGACTCCTCCCATTTTACAATTCAGAGGATTGGATTCTATCACACTTCAGATCCAAGGCCAAGAACGGTCCCCTGGCTTCTTAAAAGCAATTCAAAAGAGCTGATTATGCAGCTAAATGGAATTTTTTATACAATGTGTCATAACAAAAAGACAGCATATCTCTTCTTTTCTAATCAAAAAAGTGAAGGGTTTCATAAAATGTTTCATTCAATCTTATCAACCGGTATCCTTACTGTTCCCTGCCTGATGCCTTTCCCTTATCAGCTCCATAAACATTTTCAAACTTACATAATCTATTATTTCCATTCATCTATCACATATTACTATCATAGTAATTTATCTTTCTATAATATCAGCTTGGCAAGCAAGAAAATTATGTGCTTTATATAAAGATTACACTTCTTCATTTTTAATAGAAATAAAGTAGCCCTTCACCAGATATGCCTTCTTCCAAAATCCAATTCAACATTCCAATTGATTCAGGACTTTTTATTACCTATCCTTTTCCCCAGTCTCTTGATGTTAGAGATTGCTCCATTCACTTGATGCTTATCTTCTATCCGGGTCAAACAATTAAACAGTATTTAATTTGGCTAAGACCCATCTAAAACACTGGGTCCCTTTTCTCAATGTATTCCAAATGGAACAATTATTAAACTTTAGTAATAAAATATCTGGTCATCCATGTGTATGCAGAGATCAGGATGAAAAATTGGTTACTTATGTACAAATGAAGTTCTTTGATGGATCATCTGTGAATTCATGCGATCTATGCACTTACTACATTTAGTCTCAAATAATCTTATATTCCTTCTGAGTTCCAATTTCTTGGAAATTGAGCTATATCTAACCATGCTTGTTATGCACAAAGAATGGGGCTCCTATCAAAACTCATAATTCATAAACTATAGAAGATAAACTATAGAAGATTCAGAAGAGGCTGTCTGCAGCTGCAAATATGTGAATTCACAAAAGAACACTCAAATAATTAGTTACAAGTAAATAACCAGTTCTTTTAAACTGATTTCAGATCTTGTACTTCAATATAAATAGTATGAATTATTCCTCATCTGATTGTTTCAATATTTAAATATATGTATTTAATGTCAATCCTGAACTTTATGTTTAAAAAATCCAGAAATCAAGCTATGTGAAGCAGTTCAGTACATGTGAGACCTGATAAAAAAAAATTGGCTGCTTTGAAACTGTTTTTGTATGTTTCTAACTTATGACTTTGTCTTATGACAGGAACACTGTAATGGCAAGTATTCAGTAATTATTTCCACTATTTGTAATGAATGACGCACACCACCTAAGACAAGATTAAAGGGTTTTTTTGTAATAAACTACAATCAGAAAAAATAATCAAGAAATATAGCTTTATTATTCTGGCTACTATAAGTAGCTCTGATCGAAATGCTGAAAGGAGAAACAAAGTACATATTTCCAATACTTATTAAATTATACATTGAATTATACTTGTCAACACTTCAGCCTGAGAAATAGGGGTATGGCTAATTTAATGTTTCATGCATTGTACGATGTGCAAAAGTTCTGATTGCAGATATAATAGACTAACCTGCAGATGGGAGGCAACTGATTAGGGTTATTAATTTATTATTTTTACCTTTATCAGGTATCCTTAACAGGCTGCAAAATATCTTACTTCCAGCAATGGGAATATGATAAATACTGCACTGATAAACTAGATCAGGAGTGTCAAACTTGATTTCATTAAGAGCCGCATCAGGGTTGTATTTGATCTCAAGTGGGGTGGGGTGGGGTGCGTGGCTGGGGTGTATGTGGCCAGGGTGCACGACCCTCCCAAACTCTGTTTTCGCACGCAGAGGCACCGCGGGCCAGTCCTTTGCCGTTTCCAAGGCAGCCCCACAGGCCAGATCTAAGCGCCCCGCAGGCCGCATCCAGTCCACAGGCCTTGAGTTTGACACCCCTGAACTAGATAAAGCATATCTAGAAAATGTCAATATTATGAGGGGAAAAAACAAAGGCAGTCTAGGGATTATAGCATGAGCTGTTGAAACCATATTTATTGATTTCAGTAATCTGGAGCCTGTTTCTGTCTTGTTGTGGGACCATACATACTTGACAGTTCCAAGAAATTTCTGTCAATTGGTATGAATGAGTTATGGAAGGCCAGAGCTGAGCCTGCAAGTTAGATATAAGCATCCCTGAGAGCCATATATGCTTACTATTGCAAGGAGAAAAATACTAATAAAGAATTGGTGGCTCTCAGAAATTAGCATATTTTTCTGTGTGCCAGTTTTTTAAAATATGGGAATATCACTCAAGCATTTGGTGCCATTTCTGATATGCAGTGTGAAATAGTTGTTCCACTTTATAATTCTAATTCTTTCACTTCTTCAAGTTCAGCCTATTATTTTTACAAAAGAAGGAAATTATCTCACAGTTCATGTTGGGATAAATGAGAAAAGAAAAATGCTGCCATTCTGTCCCAAGTAGAAGTACTATTTATTCTTCTCTTTCACCACCCTCCAATAGTATATACTATCAATGAGACAAACAAAGAAAACAAAACTTCACAAAGTTATATTTAATTTACCGGAACTGATGGGGGGGGGGGGGACTCCACCCAGTGCTATACAATGCAACCACTCTTGCATTACTTCAACATTTCAAATACGCAAAAGTCACCCAATTCTACAAAGCAGATGGGAGTGTAACACAAATGTCAATTAAAGAATGCTACGGAATTTAAAACACTTCATTTTTTTTTCATACTCTATTGCTACTGTTGAGCAATCAAAGTGGTAAGCAGCATTAATGATAGAAAAGAAAATATTGCAAGATAGTAATGCAGTTTAAAAACAACAAAATAAATATTACAGTCACCTAACAATGTAACACCTGTTGAAAGTGATACATCTTTAGAAACTGCATAAACACTGAGAAAATGAAACTCTGGAACAAGTGTTCTCATAACTTGAGAGCAATACAGGAGAAGGCAGATTCCCTGGTCTTAGAAATTCAAAAGCCCCAGAGAGTGGGGCATCGGCCAGGGGGCCTTTCCTGCTATTCTGAAAAACCAGACAAGTTGTAAGAGGTGAGTTGGTAAAGTGACGTTTTTGCCCTCTTGCGTTTAATCCAGGACTAGGGTTACAGTGGGTCATTAAAGATTATGTGGCCATGATACCCCACTTAATTCCAGAGGACATATATTAAGTGGAAAAAAAGTCATGACAATTTCAAATACTGGGGATTACCAGTTTTTTAAAAAACACCTTCAAATATTGACCCATTAGTAACTTTAATTTCTGGTTTTAATTGGGATTTAATCTGGTTTTAAGGAAGTTATTGCTTTTATTGACTTTTGTATTTATGTTATTGATTTTGTTGTTTGGTTTAATTATGTGAG